CCGTCCCGGCCGTGGGCAGAGATCTCGATGGATTTTGTCACGGGGCTACCGACCTCCAAGGGGAACACCACGGTGTTGACCGTGGTGGATAGATTTTCAAAGATGGCACACTTCCTAGCCCTACCCAAGCTGCCCACCGCTAAAGAGACCGCTATCTGCATGATGAACAACGTGTTTAGGATCCACGGGTTCCCCAGAGACATTGTGTCCGATAGGGGGCCCCAGTTTGTCTCGCGGTTCTGGCAGGAGTTCTGTAAGCTCATCGGAGCCACAGCTAGCCTCACATCGGGGTACCATCCCGAGGCCAACGGACAGACGGAGCGCCTCAATCAACAACTGGAAACCAGCCTCCGGTGCCTGGTGGCCCAGAACCCTGCGTCATGGAGCGAACACCTGACGTGGGTAGAGTACGCCCATAACTCCCTTCCCACCTCCGCCACTGGCATGTCTCCCTTCCATTGCGTTTTTGGTTACCAACCCCCTGTGTTTTCCGAGTCCGAACCAGAGGTGTCTGTGCCCTCCGCCCAGGCCTTGGTCCGCCGCTGCCGCCGCATCTGGGCAGCGGCACGCCAGACGCTAATCAGACAAGGGGACAGAGTGAAGAAAGCAGCGGACCGCAGGAGAAGACCGGCTCCAGTGTACCAGCCCGGCCAGCGAGTATGGCTCTCAGCCAAGGACCTACCCTTGCAGGTCGAATCACGAAAGCTGGCCCCTCGCTTTGTCGGCCCGTTCCCCATCTCGAGGATTATCAATCCAGCAGCTGTGCGCCTCCGTCTGCCCCGGTCCCTGAGGGTACACCCAACCTTTCATGTCAGCAAAATCAAACCAGCGAAGGAGAGCGCAATGGTGCCAAACCCCAAGCCACCCCCACCCCCTCGAATGGTCGAGGGGGGGCCGGTCTACACGGTGAGGAAACTGCTGGCGGTACGTAAGCGGGGACGGGGCAGGCAGTTCCTCGTGGACTGGGAGGGCTACGGCCCAGAGGAACGACAATGGGTCTCGTCTAGCTTCATAGTGGACCCGGATCTCATTCGAGATTTTTATAGAGCACACCCGGACATTCCAAGGCCGCCTGGTATTCGGCCTTGAGGGGGGGGTAATGTCACACCTGTATGTCAAGTTGCGTTTTTGTCCTGTCTCCAGTTGTTTTTTGACTTCCTGTTTTATTTTGGAAACTAACTCCCTCTCGTTTCAGGTCCCTTGCCCTTCCTCATGTGTCACCAGTCTGATTGTCTCCCCTGATTCCTGATTGTGTCCACCTGTTCCCACAACTCCCTCATGGGTACTTATAGTCTGCGTCGCCCCTTGTCCTGTGCCAGTGTGTCTTGTTGTTTTGCCCTGCACACCAGCCCTCACGTCACGAGTCAAGTCAAGTCCGATAACGTTTGTCACGTCCTTTTGATCCCTGTTACGTTTCCTCGTTTAAGAGAGATTTTGAGTTTTTGCCTTTTGAATTTTGATCTCAACCTTTTTCCTCATTAAGAGAGATTTTGAGTTTTTTCCTTTTGAACTTTGATCGCGACCTTTTTTCCTCATTAAGAGAGATTTTGAGTTTTTTCCTTGTTATTAATAAAAGCAATATCAGCTGAACCCTCTGCGTCCGAGTCCTCCTCCCCCCTGCCTGACAGATCTCATACTCCCAAAAACGCTTATTGGACCTTTTCCCTCAAGAGAAGTGGGAAGAGGGCCGAAAGGGAGTAAGAGACAAAGAAGACATATCACATTCATTTTCAAACTCGGCAGGCACCGATAACAGGCCACAAGTTATTGTCTCACAGAGGAAAACTAAGGTGATTTCTAACAGGGAACGCTACGTGATAAAAGTGCTGCTCCCTCTTGTACCTGCGGCTCACCTGCAGAGCACAAATAAACACGACACCTCTGTGGTTAGTACAAACAAAGCTGATCAAAAACCAACCCTTTTTTGTGTTATGTATATATGGATACAACATTTCCAAGAAAAAAGTTTGACTAGATGTGAAGTAGTGTGAAGAGTTAATAAATTAAGTATTTATACGTTGTCACTTGAAGTGTATTAATTTAAAAATAAGAGCTAAAAGCAGTTCATGGTCTAAGTGGGTTTTGAACCTCTCTGAACAAGGAAAGACTCTCTCCCCGGCCCGGCAGCGGATGAGCAGTCCAGAATAGTCAACTTGCTTGTCCTTGCAAATTCCTTCCTGCTCCAAGACTTTCTCCCTTGTCTCCGTCTGATGGCCGCATCTGGTATCCCTCACTGACCTGACCAATCCCTGTTAATTTAATATTACAATATATTCAATGATCACACCATTGGCTTAAAGCTTCATGTAAATAAAGCATGCATAATATTGATATCGAATACGCTTTATTAATGTATTAAATCATCACAGTTCATCACATTTCAACCATTACGTTTAACTTTAAGTACACAGTTGTTGTCAAAAGTTTACATACACTTGCAAAGAACATAATGTCATGGCTCTCAAGTTTTTCCTCTGATAAAGTGATTGGAACAGATACTTCTTTGTCACAAAAAACATTCATGAAGTTTGGTTCTTTTCTGACTTTATTATGGGTGAACAGAAAAAGTGACAAAATCTGCTGGGTCAAAAATATACATACAGCTGTGCTAATATTTGGTTAAATGTCCCTTGGCCATTTTCACTTAAATTAGACACTTTTGGTAGCCATCCACAAGCCTCCTCACAAGCTGTCACTCCTCTTGACAGAATTGGTGGAGTTCAATTTTAATTTGATGGCTTTGTGACAGACTTGTTTCTTCAGCATTGTCCACATGTTCTCAATGGGATTTAAGTAAGGACTTTGGGAAGGCCATTCTAAAACCCTAATTCTAGCCTGATTTAGCCATTCTATTACCACTTTTGATGTGTGTTTGGGGTCATTGTCCTGTTAGAACACCCAACTGCGATGATTTTAGGTTATCCTGAAGAATGTGAAGGTAATCCTCCTCCTTCATTATCCCATTTACTCTCTGTAAAGCACCAGTTCTATTGGCAGCAAAACAGACAAAATAGACAAAAAACCCTCTTTGGGGAGAGATGTGGAAGAAATCGACCAAGGAAAGACTAGGAGCCTTCCCCTAGGCTTTGGCAGGATGTTATGTGTACAGTAATTAAATTCATTAAATTATTATGAATAGTGTTTAATTCATATTGAAGTTATTTCATCTAACAAACTAATGTAATAACTAGTAACTTAACACACACAAACTACAATTACAACACTAATCATTATCACACATATTATAATTTCCACCACTGAACGTGCTCTTCTGCTTAAATCCCTAACAAGAGAAAGAGATGAAAGCAGCGGGAATGTCAATGGACGAGTTGTGGGTAGAAGTGTGTTTGAAATCTTCGTTAAAGTCGTGTAAGATGTGATTGCAGAAGAATTTATGAAAGCAGTGTATATGGCCTTATTGAAATTGTTGATTTACCAGTATTTGTCTTTTGTTACTATTCAGTAATTGGTATTTTTTCGCTAAGTAATGGCTGTACCTATTATAAATTCTGCACATCGCAATACAAGATCACATAGAGTGAACATGAATTAGCACTTATTTTTCCAAAGTGGACGGTAAGCTTCAGCCCAACAACAGTTCTCAGCAAGTGACTCGGCTTTGGTTTGGAGAGGCCTTAAATACCTCACAAACTACAAGCCAAAAACCCCATTTCCATGAATGACCTCCGCCTGGCAGATGAGCTGAGCGAGTTCTACTGCACTCCATCCCGCACAGCTCCCCCAACCTGCCCCAGTCCCCCACGCCCTCCCTTAACCGCCTCTTTAAAAGACAAAACCCCCGTAAATCAGCCGGCCCGGACTCCGTCTCCCCTCACTCCCTGAAGCATTGTGCTGACCAGCTGTCTCCGGTGTTCACTTTCATCTTCAACGCCTCCTTGGAGACATGCCACGTACCAGCCTGCTTCAAGGCCTCCACCATCATCCCTGTCCCCAAGAAGCCCAGGATCACAGGACTCAATGACTACAGGCCCGTCGCCCTGACCTCTGTAGTCATGAAGTCTTTTGAACGGCTAGACCTGTCCCACCTGAAGACCCTCACTGACCCCCTCCTGGACCCCCTGCAGTTCGCCTACAGAGCCAACAGGTCTGTGGACGATGCTGTCAACATGGCCCTCCACTACATCCTCCAGCATCTGGACTCTCCACGAACCTACGCCAGGATCCTGTTTGTGGACTTCAGCTCTGCTTTCAACACCATCATCCCGTCTCTGCTGCAGGACAAACTGTCCCAGCTGCACGTTCCCGACTCCACCTGCAAGTTGATCACAGACTTCCTGTCCGATAGGAAACAGCACGTGAAGCTGGGGAAACATGTCTCAGCTCCTGGACCATCAGCACCGGTTCCCCCCAAGGCTGCGTTCTTTCCCCAGTGCTCTTCTCCCTGTATACAAACAGATGCACCTCGAGCCACCAGTCCGTCAAGCTCCTGAAGTTTACGGATGACACCACCCTCATTGGGCTGATCTCTGGTGGGGATGAGTCCGCCTACAGGTGGGAGTCTGACCATCTGGTGTCGTGGTGCAGCCAGAACAACCTGGAGCTCAATGCTCTAAAGACAGTGGAGATGGTTGTGGATTTCAGGAAGAAAAGAGTCCCCCCCCCGTCACCACTGTGGATTTCTTCCGTTTCCTGGGCTTCATCATCACCCAGGTCCTCAAGTCCAAAAAGGCTTTTATTCCTTTATTTTTAAACTAACCCATAGCATTATTTTATTTTATTCCTCTTGCACTATGTTGTCTTGTCATACTGTCTGCTGTTATGCACCAACTGCCAAGACAAATTCCTTGTATGTCTAACATTTTCTGAACCTCCACAGCATGAGGAAGTATGATCACCTACTTGTACATATTACAATAATAGCTGAGCAGTCATTTAGCAGCTTGTTTTTTTATAAGAGTATACATTTTGTATTAGAAATGAAAATGAATGTTCTCAGTAAAACATATTATTAAAGATTCTTTACAAATCAACCAGGCAGCTTTCTTGTTGTTAAATGTTTTATTCAATATTTCAAAACCACTCCCTTTTAAGAAAACATACTCACATCTTGAGGATCAAATATTAACACACCCCCATGTTAAAAACAGCTTTGTAACAGACAAGAAACAGTGACTGCAAACACGACTGCACCGCATGATTGAAAAAGGATATACGGCAACGTACATATAAGTGCAAGATTTCCCACAAAACAAACATTGATAAACACAGTGCATATAAAATACCTTTTTAAAAAAGCGCTCCTGATTCGCTGACACTACAGATTTGTATGGCTCCATTTGTCCACTATCTGCAAAAAGGCCCGGGAAGCATATACATGTTCAAGGAAGCCAGAACTCGTTTTGCTCCATTGTAAAGAACATAAAAAAGTGTGCCGTAGCGTTCAAGGACTTTGCACGAGCCTGAAATCATACCAGCATATTCTACTTTAAAAACAGTTCAAAGAACTGTACTCTAAATCAACTGGATATAAATGAAGGGTTCTTGTTTCAGGAACTGCATAGTAGATCCTCCAAAATACATTGATTATTTTTTTCCAACTCGGCCCGTTGCTCGGCGGTCAAGGCACTGACAGGGTTCTGTTTTGTGGTCCTTGCATATGGCAAAGATCCTCATAATGAGGAGAAAATTCAACATTTCGAGACAATGCAACACAAAACTTTCCCCCAGAATATTAATGAGGACCTGTGGAGTTGTAGAGAGAAGCAATGTGTATGGACTGCTGGGCAGAGATTAATGAAGAGAAACACAAGGTTTTTAAAGCAGCCTACAGCAGCTCTATCTCCCACTGTTGGCTTGGCCTCTCCTCATTCTCTGGCATAATCACCACGTGGTCCTTGTCATAGGATTTGCCACCTGGGGAAAAGGATAATAACCACGTTAAGTTCAAGTTAAAATGAGGATCATCCAGAAAAAACCCTCCCTCTCCCCGGCTTTTAGAGGCACACAGTGGTAAACATGTAAACATGTAACTAAGCACATTTGATCAACCAGTGTTTCTTTTCAGAGCAACACTTGCTGGAAGTAAATACAGAGGTTAAAATTACCAATAAAACTAGATCAAATCTCCTGTTGTACACACTTTACATGCGCTATTCATCCATCTATAACAAATGTAAAAAGCAACAGAAAGGAAATTCCTAGGAAACATAATTTGCATATTCTTTTAGCATATTAACGGCAGCCTGTGGTAACATGAATGCTAATGCCTGTTGTTTTGTCCCATTTACCTTTGACATCCAGGACGCAGCCAGGAAAAGTGAGGCTGCTGATGAGGCCTCTCATCTGAGCCGTCCAGGTCTGAACCGGTTGCCGGGTCTCTGTCCATAAAACCACCTTGGCCGCCTGCTCTATGTTGCCAATCACCTGAAGGCTCATGGTTGGAGACAACTACAGCACACACACAATCATACACACACACACACACAGCACATGATTAGAACAGCCCACTGCTGTATCAAAAGGACAGGTTTGGGTTCTGGTTGCCAACGCTAATAACATGTTACTGAGGCCTCATTACCTTGCTCTTGATGAAGCCATCCTGATAGAACCAGATGTCACTCATGGGCTCCACCTCTGGTGTCACCACCACCCGTCCTGATTTCATCTCTTCCACGCCACCCTGGACAGAGAGGAAGTGACCCCTCTCTTGGTTCTTGATGCGTAGAAAGTGGCGCTTCTGCAGGAGGCAAAAAAATATATATTGTCATCTCAGGGCCTGCTCACTAGAACTAAATTACATCAGAAATAACACATTTTCCCTTACCCTTATTTTACATCATTTTCATCCCTTTAAAGAGATATTAAGCTCCTTAACAAAAAAACACTTTGGAAACTGCCTACAATCCTCCTAAAATATGGAATGCCGTTTTAGTCAAAATTAAATAAATGAATAAATACATGAAATATGCATTTGAAATACATCATGAAATAAATAAATGAGCCAATAAATACATAAGTATTAAATACATTATTTCATGGTACGTTTATTTCATAATGCCACTTTTCATTTCCAGAGTCTTTTATTTCATAATGCCACTTTTCATTTCATGGTACTTTTATTTCATAATGCCACTTTTTATTTCTAGAGACTTTTATTTCATAATGCCGTTTTTCATTTTCAGAGACTTATTTCATAATGCCGTTTTACATTTCACGTTCTTATATGCAAATCAGGGGGCGTGGCTACATCTAACATTCAGAACAGACAACAGAGCCGTGTGCAAAAGAAGGCTGGCTAAGTGAGATTAGCGCTGGTACTACAAGCACAGGTGCTGGACACCCGCCTCTGGATATTCCTGGATATTGGATTTCTCGGGTTGATAGACGGGACAACACAAAGTTAGCCAGCTTGTCGCCAGGAATATCCAGAGGCGGGCGTTCAGCACCTGTGCTTGTAGTACCAGCGCTAATGTTGAATTCATCAACTTGGACCTCTTCCACACGCACGCGGTGCTCAATGAGTCTTAAACAATTTAAAACTTCGTTGTCTATGTATACATCTTATCCGCCCTAGTATTTCCAGAAAACCCTCAATATGTGTCAAAATCGTATCTGCAGAAATCCCATGTTGATCGATTTGATCTGCTAATGCTAGCATTCTACCTCGGAGCCCACCGATGTCTTCCATTATGTCAACACTCTGTTGTCTGTTCGGAATGTTAGATGTAGCCACGCCCCCTGATTTGCATATAAGAACGTGAAATGTAAAACGGCATTATGAAATAAGTCTCTGGAAATGAAAAACGGCATTATGAAATAAGTCTCTGGAAATGAAAAACGGCATTATGAAATAAAAGTCTCTGGAAATGTAAAACGGCATTATGAAATAAAAGACTCTGGAAATGAAAAGTGGCATTATGAAATAAAAGTACCATGAAATGAAAAGTGGCATTATGAAATAAAAGTACCATGAAATTAAAAGTGGCATTATGAAATAAACATACCATGAAATGAAAAGTGGTATTATGAAATAAAAGTACCATGAAATATTAAATGTATTTAATATTTATGTATTTATTGCCTCATTTATTTATTTCATGATGTATTTCAAATGCATATTTCATGTATTTATTCATTTATTTAATTTTGACTAAAACGGCATTCCATACTAAAATGCCCTTGAACAAATACAATCATATAATATCCAATTATTCTTACTAATGGTGTAAATCCGGTTTTCATACTACTGAATATGGCCTCTGTGATTGGTTAACCAGCCACCAGTTACCTCAAGGGAACGTTCTGGACCAGTGCAGCCAGCCAATCACTGCAGTTGAAGCTTACAGCGTATAACTTTTGTTGATGTTCAACCTTAAGATCAATTAACGCACTGCACACTGTTTCACATCGTGTCATTGCTGACAAAATTGCAGTGGCAAAGTGCTCAAAACCGATTCTATTGTGATTCCTGCGACAGCAGACCACATTCTACCAGAATGGCACACAAGACAATGACAAGGTGTAAACAACACTGCCGCAGATGATTTGTTTACAAACCTGTCGGACTGGGAACATTGAACCAATGGACTGTATTGAGCTGAACTTCGGCCAGTTGGTGATTTCTATTGGTTCCAGGAGGAATTGGCGCCCCCTGTAGTTGCTGTGTTCACAGATCACCCAACTGTAAAGGAAGAGAGACAATATCAGGTGCCTTACTATCACGTGTCCTACACAGGCACTCAAAAACTAGGTGTTATATTGCAACAGCTGACTATCATTTCTTCCCAAATGTCCACTTCTCTTGACTTACTTCCTATCAAGGAGGCTTGTTAAAAAACACAGGACAGCTACTTTATGGCAAAATACAAACATGTAATGTCCCCAGCCCCGGGGATCAACCCGGTGATCCTCCGATAGTAGGACGGGGTGAACCACAGCGGCCCCGAGGCCAAAAAACAAGCCGAGGAGAGACGAGCACGCACCAGCCGCTGTTGACTCTGACGGACAGGATGTGATTGTTGAAGCCCTCTTCCACCATGCTGGGGACCTCTGTGTCGAGGTCAATCTTTCTGCCCTCCAGACACTCGAGGCCAAACAGGGAGATGGAGGGAACCGAGAGCGTCTAGATAGGGCGAGACAGAGGATCAGCGCAAGCCGAAGCACAGCACACGGCTTGTTTTATGTTTTTCAAACACGAGTGCCCCCTCACCATTGGCACGACCTTGACAGAGCTCAGGGTGCAGTCGGGCGGACATCCCATGCTCGTTAGGCTGGGGTAGTCTCCTTCAGATAAGACGTACGAGTTCCCAGAGTACTGTTTATTCTCGTAGAGCACCCAGCTGAAACACAGTTTATGTTGTTGATCAGCCTAATCACATAATACTCTTTGCGCTCTTTTCTTTTTCCATCTGACTCCAGATTAATTTCTTTTTGGAGGGCTGGATTATTTGGGGAAAAGGCTCCTCACCTTCCCCCCGACACTCTGCAGGACTTGGTCAGTACTTTTTCGGACAATGCTTCCTGGTTGAGTTTGTAGACGTGGCACTCCCCCTGGAAGTCTGGCTCAGAATACAGTATTATCTGAGATGGAGGTTAGAGAGAAGATTAGAGATTAACACATGTATGACCTGAAGCCTTTTGTTCCATTAAAAGGAATGTCCTTTTAAGTACCGCCATCAAAAGCTGCCCAGATAAGGAATTAGAATCATCTTCCTCTCAGGTGTCACAGGTAAAGCGACTTACAGGTTCTTCTTACCATGCAGAATATATTATTTCATACTTTATGTTTCACTTGCAACATTTATTTAGGAGGCAAGAATCCCCCCTTGTGCTCAGAGTCGCAGCAGTTTATGGATGGCTCAGTGCGCAGAGAACAAAAACCAGTCCCTGCATGGAGCAAAGTCCAGATCCAAAGGTTTCGCATCACTGCGTGGTGTGACACGCACAAGCTGCAGCCCTGTGGGCATTAGAGGTCTGCGTGCACCTGTAATTTGAAAAACTACTGCTTTTTCTGACACTAGACTGTAAGACTCCTAACCTTTGTAAAAGAGAGAAAGTCAAGGCAAAATACCTCAGTCGAGATGCTTGAGCTGTCACTTGGGGCCTAAAAGTCAACAGAACAAAAATATAAGCACCACCAGAACACAAATACATTGATCCAATGAATAACCGAAAGACTTCAGAGGGGCCCTCACCCGTAGGATGGGCTGCACCGAGCAGATGCGAGTGTCCTCAGAGCCCCAGTCAGCACAGTTGTTATAGACGCCTTTCTCTAAGATGTACTGGTTACCAGAGAAGTCCACATGGGAGTAGGCTACCCATCTGAAAGGAAGACCAACATTTACCGCTGGTAATGGTGATGCATTTCCACTCCACTGAGGTGGTAAAGCAGATATTCTGTAGAATCCAAATCGACTTACGCCCCGCTGAGCACATGGATGGAGCGGGTGGAGGTTTTGTACTCAAACAGCTCGACATCCGCAATGGCCTCGGTCACCTCGAAGGTGTTCTCCTCCGGCGCGCCCTCCGGCTCCTCGTCCGGCTGCTCAAACAGCACGACCACGGGGTCTGTCAGGTCCTGCAGGAGAGAAAGAAAACTGGTGGACTTTAGACTAAAAAGTTAACTCGTTTACAGTCTAAATCATCACTGATGTCCTAAATTGCAGTTTCATGCCACAGGTATCAGGAGTACAGCGGCCACTGTTGGAGGGCAGAGTCACTTTTTTAGATTAGGTTAGACTGCTAAAAAGGGTACTTAAACAGGGACCAAGTTGTGACCAAGAATGGAGTCTATCCAAGACTAAATCCGAGTAAGAGCAAGATCAAGACCAGTTGGAGTCCCGCGCTGCATGACAAACAAAGTCCAGCACAACAACCATATGCCCTCCTCAAATTAAGCTAATAGATTCTTATTCCCATAAAAACACATGATTCCTCTTCATTCCCCTCGATATACTGTATATGTGTGTTTGTGTGACCGCAGTGGTGCTCGGGTACTGAAACACACACACAGTGCAGTAGACAAACAGAAAGGGATTTGCATGCGCTGTTACTAGAGAAAAATGTACCGCAGGTAGCATGTGAATAATTACTTATTGACAAATACCAACTGCAGTAAACCATTTCCTCAACTTACCGCCCGTATCACCCTGACGGAGCGCAGCTCGGCATCATGGCCTCCCCACACCCTCCAGTCATGATACTCTCCCTCCTCCAGCAGGTACTGGTGGCCACGGAAGCCCTCCTTCTCGTAGCCCACCCATCTTCAGCAGAAGAGGCAGAGGGTTTTTAAGCTACCGAGTATCGGTCTTCAAATCTGTATAACGATCACTAAAATGTCTTTGAATGGTTCAGTGAATATGAACATTGCAACTCACATTCCTCCGTGTACTTTGAGGGAGCCGGCGCTGCCTATGAAGGTCGTCTGCTGCCGGTCTGCTCTGGTCACAAAGTCCCTCATGTTGGTGGTTATGGTCCTTGATTTCCCAGTGAAGTACGGCTTGTCGTAGATCACCAACTGGACACAAAAGCGTGTCAGTTACAATCAGAATACTTTGATTTAGCTGCAATTAATTAGCGGTATTTGTGCGCTCTCTTACCTTTGGCTGACTCATATTCTCCACTCTTGGTTCCCCCTGGGATGGAAGAATAAACAACTCAACTTACTGCAAACAATCAAGGAATATACCTTTATATAGAATAGAATATAGAATAAGGAAAGAAAAGGAATGTCAAGGTCACTTACTACTTTCAGTGGATGTAGGGATCCCACATAGGGCTGTTCCACTCCCCAAGCTGCAGGGTTGGAGTACCCCCCCACCTCCAGGACACGTGGTAGGCCCTGGAAGAAGGGATGTGCGTACACAAGCCACCTGGCCGGGCAAAAAAACAAAAATTAAAGTCATGGTGTGAACGGCATTATAATGCAAATTCCACAAGATCACGCTTTTCTCATAATTCAGAAACTCACAGCCCAGCATTGACGATGATAGAGTTTGCCTTGATGGGGAAGCCAAAAATCCTGGCATCTTCAGACGTATCTCTGAAGATGACCTTCTTCCCCTCCGCGCTCTCCTCGGGGAAAAGACGGATTTCTGGGACACTGTAGTCCTGAGTGAGGACAGAGAGCATCCATCAATGTCACATAATGGAGAAAATAACAGCCCGTAAGGCTGCAGTCCTGCAGGGGGTGAGAAAATATATGCAGTGATTACCTTAGTGGGAACTATACTTTGTGACTCAACATGAACCCAACAATAGAATCACCAGCTAAACGCCGAAGATGTGGCGGTTTCCTTTTGTAGTGACAGAACTGACTACAGTATTCATAGAAAGTTAAATCAACATCTGCGTGTTCCTACTTCGAACACCAGGTGGCGACCATGAGTTAATAGAACAGTTAACCAGCAACAGTTAAAAAACATCTGTGAGAGGTTTATAGCTTTTCAGCATCAGATAACACTGTTTAAGAGAGAAGTCCAAACAATAAACAGAGATTTTACAACATAGTTAATTGTAATTGGACTGAAAGGAGCAACTATTTGAATTGACACAGTGAGGTGATCTTGTTTTACCCTGACTGCTCTTCTGAGAGATCCGATGATAAACCTCCTGGCAGGTTCGCTCTGCACATCACTCGTTTCTCCGCTCGGCTCCCCGGCCTCTTTCTCTCCGTTCTGCAGCTCCTCCTCTGGATTGAACGGGTAGGTGAGCTCTATGTCTCCCTCATCCAGGGCGATCTTCTCCCCTTTGAAGTTAGGCTTCTCATACAGCACCCATCTAGGAGAAAAAGGGGCACACAGTTAAACCCTCTAATGTTCTCATGATGTGAGCTTCTGGTCCTCCGTTGATTGAAAACAGTTTATTCTGCACCACATCGATGCATTTGTCCACATGACGAAGGCATGGTTGTTTAAAGTGAAGTGAGTAAATCCTAAACATTACGTTTTATATCATAAGCGTACAATGTTTCATATGTAACTAGCAATCAGGTCTATTGAGTAAATGTGATGGAATAAAAGAAGAACATACTATGAAATCGAAACACTTGGTGATCACAATCATCTCTTTGTTGGAAGCCAATCAAGTGTTGACCTGGTGTTGGTGGCGATGTTTATTATAATGGATTCATCATCATATCTGCTTTTGCATCTCCGGAGGCTTAAGTTTGATGAAGTGCCAAATATGTTTCGAGCAGGTGTTTGTTTACTGCTAGAATTTGAGCACGTCAAACACTGGCAATGACAGAGACTTGGTCTCATGTCTTCATGCACGTCTATGTTCTTAAAGACAGAAGTATTTGTCTTTGGCCTCCATTGTGCTTGCATCCTGTGTACTAATTCTATATGCAGTATAAGTGACGAAGTAAAGTACACTCAAAACAGTCTCTCGAGCCACTCACCCTCCTCTGACCACCCTGATGGAGATGGTCTCCTGCAGCTCCCAGGGCGTGGCATCGATGACGTCGCTGCGCACCTCTATCCTCTGGCCGCACATCCCAGGCCGGTCGAAGATGTACATCTAGAGAAAACGTAGCGTAAGAATAGAAAGCAGTTTAAGACTTTTTGTCATTTACTTGGAAGGCAAGACATTGCATTGGCAGATGGGATACGGTTACTAGTAATAAAAAGGAAATACTGCAGGTTTAAACCTCAACCTGCGCTGCTGCAGAAGAAATCTGTAATCATGAAAATTACCCATTGGTGCCAATTTCATCTGGTGCCATTATCTCAAGTCTCATGTCAAAGCATGAGTTTTAAATTTCATACCAAACTCATGCAGACATTTGATACGAGAATGGTGCAGTGAAGAAAACAACAGTATGCAGGTAGAGTTGCACGGTAGCATCAGTCCTGGATATCTATGATTAGCATTTGCAAAACAAAAAAAGCTGAGAGACATTTTGCACAAATAAAAAAAGAGTTGGACACGGGTAGTTCCTAAAACATCCTTTTCTTGTCTACACTGCACACAGACGTGTCTCGTCCATTCAGGTCTGAGGCCCCGGAGCATGGAAGAAAACCCAGAAACTGATCCTAAATGTCAGCGCCACCTCTTGCAATCTGCAGCGACGGGCAGCAGCAGGCCTGACATTTGAAAGTTAATAACGTAGGAGACATTCGTGAGCAGTGTAATGGCATCAATACCTCAGAGGATACCTGAGGTTAACCGCTACTCAACATGGACTATGAAAGCAGTTATGGGAAGAAAATAAAACTAAAATAAAACTAAAAGAAATACTAGAGTTTTGTTTTTTTAACAATAGCCTTTTGTTTTGCAGAAGATTGTTATAACGTTACAGTCATGTTTGATGGAAAACAAACATTTTGTGCATACATTTGATGTGATAATGTTAGCATTTGCCAATTAGCTCTACACACAAATTGCAGCCGAGGCTGATGGGAGAGGCAAACAGTGGGCCATTACAGTCCCGGGGTTTATCCTCCGGGGATCATGGTTATCTGTAAGGAGTGACAGCGCTTAGTTGTGTGTGTGTGTGTGTGTGTGTGGTGTGCGTGTGTTGTGTGGAGACTCACCTTTCCAGGACGAGGATTGAGCTTTCCATGCTCCTTCTCTTTAGTGAGCTATGGACAAAGAAAATTGATATTTTTTTAAGAAACCTTCTACTAGATACACAGCATTGCATTCCTTTGTTTTTCTGACACACGGAAGCATTTCCTTTATATGGTTAAAAGGTAAAGATAAAAGCACAGATAAAGAGCAATTCTATTAAGTAAAAAAAACAGTATTGTTCGCTGTACATTCCCCTTACCCTGGCTCCTTACTTTTTTATTAATTTCCTATTTACAATGGACCCAATACGGATCCATATTGGAGGAGGACTGTCACTATTATAGTCTTTACAATTGAAATGAACGTACTTCTGCACCTAATGACCTTTGACCCACCCCTGAAATATTGTTTTAATTAACTGACTTCCGTTCGCTGACAACAGCAGTCATTCACAAAAATGCCAGACCACCCACTCATTGTGTTTGAGTCACACTTTTCAAGCGGTTGTGGTGACATCAAAGTGAGGAGAGACGGCGTCCTCTGACAAGGACACGCACCACTTTGGTCGCTTGACAAGACAAACATTCCTCCCTACCTGCTCAACCTGATGCTCTCTGGAACTGCACCCACAGATGAAAACAAGCTTTATACTCAGATCTGCTCTCATATTGTATTGGATTTCACTCTTTTTCACTTGTGTGTGTGCGGTGAGCATTTCCATGGCTTCAGTTTTGGGGTTTTGCTTCCTGAAGCTTGGCACGTGGGAGCAGCAATACCCCATGCGATTTGCATACATATTTAGAGTGATTGTGTGTTCAGAGTCAAGTGTCGAGCCTCTGTTCTCTGGAAGCTCTGTGGAAACAGTTTATCACCTGGATCATGTTACCAAATAAAGAGGGCCGGGTACCAGAGCTCTTATTCGACAGCCCATCATCCTATAACGTTTCGATTAGATAAATTCTGGGAAATAAATAACAAATTTAACCAACTATGTGGGACACAGTAGAGTTTGGACTTTTCCTCAAGCGCAACAGGACACCTTTTTACATTTTCAGTGGCAGCAAGCCGGGGGCATCAATGGGGCCTTTTCACCATTGACCTTGAAAATAAATGAGTAACTCACTGTTCAATGACATACCATACAGCAACAAACTGTTCCCACCGTAGAGCAAGACTTTTGATCTGCCAGTGATCCTTTTTAAAGTATTCTATTTCCCCCTTTCTTAAACCGTGTTCTAAATTTCAGGTGGTTTTATTCTCAAGCGTTTGTGCTGTGTGCATAGGTTTACATTTCCCTCCTTAGCGGACATTGTATTCTATTCAATAACTAAATGTTGTCATCGCAATGCTGCTATTGTCAACAGCTAAGTCAACACACGCATCAGTCTTGCCTAATCTGAACCGATGAGAGACAAACACTAGACAATGGAGCAGTGCTGAAAGTGACACTCGAGTCGGTCTCACAGGTTTTCCTTACAGCTGATTTAGAGGACGGAGCTGGTAGACACACTGAGACGTACCATAGGAAGATGCTAACGTGACATTATTTTTTTACTCATGTAGCAATTACAATTTATTTTGTGAGAATTACTTGTAAGCCAAATTCCATGCTTGTATTGGCTGTCTATCAAAATGGGTTTTTACAGAACCATAATTAAAAGTACTTAAGTATGAAGTACTTCATTAAGTATGAAGAATCATCATTTTCAAATTTTTACACACATATACGTACATACCTCCTTCATAACAACGCTCTGAGGCTTCACAATACTCTTGCTCCCAAAATGGTTGAGAACAGGTCATATGTTTGTGATATTTAATGTTCCCACTTTTCATGCTGTGGAATTTGTAATTACAAATTGCAATGTCGATTAAAGGGTTCACAAAATGTTATTGTAGGTTGTTAACTGAACCAACACTCGGTATTCCTCTGTTTTTTGGAAACATCGGAATAAATGTCTGTATGTCTTTATTTTGATTACATTTGTCTTATTTTCTTATTATTTAGATGTATGTGTGTGAAGGCTAAGTGGAATATATACTGTTCCAACAAGGTTAAACAACTGCATAATTTATGGGGACGGTTGTGTTCACCGAATTGTGTAACTTAAGCTCCAACAGACACTTTCCCCTGCTGCTCCTTTCCCTCCCAGCAGCCGAGGGACACGATCTGCTCTCCCATAAAAGCCATTACAGCGGATGGAATGCGCAAACTCCACGTTATTATGTGTTTTTTTAATGAAATGCATGAACAGCTGCTGCATATAAAGCAAATAAAAAAGCTATCAATTTGTAATCTTTGCCCATTCAAATATCTCCCCGTCGGCTGTACTTCACCAAATATGAAGCAAACAAGCAGAGAAATTTAAGGAAGAATCCAAATGGTAAGGTGCGGCTGTGTCTCTGCACGAAAAGACAGCTGGAATGGGTGTGGAGCCATGCAGGTGGAGGGAAAACTGGGAGCATGAAGTGATTAAGAAGTCTCACGCGCACCGGTTGAGACGAGGTCACTCAACGGTTTAAATGCATGGATGCGTCTTACGCCACGTCATCCGAAAATGATTTCATGTGCAGAGTAGAATAATGAATCAGTTACGTGATTAATAATAATAATACGTGTGCCCTGTGATCGTCCTGCAGGCTTTCACCTGGGAAAAGCAGCGCCCAGAGCCACAGCCTGTGCAGCACAGCCAACTGAGTTAGAAGATCACTTTATGACATATTGCAGAGAACAGCGCCATTAAAACAACCCCTCTGTCAGGACCTTCTTCCAGCGAGCCTGCCTCAGGGGGAAAGCGGTTTGCCTTCGCTTTCTGAACATTTGGCATACGCCTGCACTCATTATATACCACGGGTGAGGGTGAAATTTGGGTGTGACATTTTGTGGTATGTTGGCTCAGTCGTTAAACAGGAGGAACAACCAAAACATGCGAGCCTCAATCATGTTGACGGAAAGAGATGTGTGAACACGTGTGAGTAGACGCTTGACAATCAAATCATTTCAGACATGTCCTAATCAGTTAAGTTATTCCTGGGAATGCTTGCATGTGATTAACGAGTGCATACATGCCTAAACGTACTCCTGAGTACACACTCCTGTGATTCTCAGCAGTCAGATATCAATTTAATAATTATTTTTCCTTTCTAAGGCCACCGATGCACCAGGTTTTTCCTTCTAATGCCTGGTGACACGAAGATATTTGCCATTGGACATCTCCATGAATGCGACACGCTACAGTATGTGAAGGTACACGGACACAGACAAAGAGCCACACAAAGATGGACTTTCCCTCTGTGCACAACAAAACCACATATGAAGCGATCTCTCTCACCTAATGTAACCTGAGCTGACGCTTGTCTTCTTTTACAACCCCGTGGAGAATAGATCTTTGAGTGAGACGAAGAGCTGCCAACATAATGAGCAACCGCAGATATTGTGCATATATGTGTAGCGGTTTCTCCTGTTGTTACAATAACAAAATATATTACCATTTCAGGCCGCACACCACCTTGAATTAGCCTGCGAATGTTCGCGTATTATCCACTTTGATTTTACTCTTTTGTTAAACAAAGTGGGAAATAACTAGAGAATGGCTTCTACAAATGCATTCGTCCACTTACCATCTCCTTGGGGTGCAGAACAAAAGCATTACTCACGTGCTGATTGGCTATTTACCAAAAACTAAATATTCCAAATAAATTAAAAAGATTCACCTTTTCTGCTGCAACATCACGTGTCTGTGCATAACTAATTCTCAGCAGATATCCCTCTCCCTCTATCTATTTAAATGTACTGCAAGCAATACTAAATACACAGTGGTAGTGATACTCACATAAGCATCAGGGAAGGCTCTGTATTTAGATGCTAAATTCCTCTCAGGCTCAACTGCTTGGCTCTGGAACTGAGATTCTGCGTTCCCCCTGTTGAACAGCGCAGTCTGCTGGACCCCCGTGTTTCCGTCAATACTGGAGCTCCTCAGCAGGATGGGAGCGCCCGTCCCCGTCCCCATCCCCTGCGTCTGGCCAAACATAGCGAAGGCGGAGTCTACGGTGGTGAGGGGCCTCTGGAGGTCCACGGAGCCGGTGGGGCTGAGGAGGCGGTTGGGACTGTTGCTGGAGGGCGGCGAGCCGATGGCCCACAGCGGGGGCAGACTCATCACAGCGTTGGGGCTTTCAGCTCCGGTCACGGAGCCCGGCTGGGAGGAAGACGAATTCGAAAGGAAGGACAAACGCTCAAAACGGGACGCCGCTGGTTCTGTGCCAGTTCCAGGTTCACCAAGCTCCTTCTGTCCCAAACTCATGGCATCGTATGAAGGACCCTTATCGGGCAGCGAGATGGTGCGGAAGAGCGGACGATGGGCCGTTCCATTTTCATTAGTCTGATCTATGGTTGTTGACTTGTGGCTCCCAAAGATGATGCTTTTGTCCAGGCGGGAGCTGGGGATAAATCCGTTTCCATTCAGCTGTGGGGATTTTAATTCCTCAGTAGAGGAGTCAGACAATTTAGTCAGGCTACTATTTGTAGCGGAGGATCTCAGAGGCAAGGCCAGGCCCCTTGTTCCGGGGGACTGCAGGACCTGCCACGGAGTATAGCAATGAGTTGAAGGATTGATCCAGCAAAGTAGTAAAAACAAAATGCTTTAGAAAATACATCTAGACATGGAGCCTGCTGTTGGCTTTGAAAATGCTCTCTGCACCCTGTACCTGGGGTGGAACCACAAAGGGATGTGGGAAGATAGCAATCAAACCTGCACAACCAGAAGAATCCCACTGAATATTATAGATAATAATAGAACAATGCAAATAATGTTATGTCCTCCTACATTAAAAATAAGAAAATAAAGGAAGGAATGTAAGCATAGATTATATTAAGCAAAGACATTTGCTGAACTTTCGTATCACTGTACCTGCTGGCTCATCAATTCCAGGGGTGAACGAGTGTCTCTGGAGGAGTTCCTCCCCAGTCCCAGGTCACTGGGCAGAGTGTAAAGTCCTTTGAGGGAGTCCGGAGGGTTGTCCGTTGCCTCCATCCTTTTTGTGGGACTAAGGAGGCGAGCAGGGATGTCCTGGGAGACGGGGCTGGAAGCATCCTCGACAATCGGTGGCAGGGAAGACATCAGCCCTGCGGGGGCCCCGCGCAGGCTGCCGTTCCTGGGCCTTTGGGAGGGTCCCATGCTCCTCAGCGTGTCCACCAGGTTGTCCATGTCAAACTGGTTGGCGGCGTCTTCCTCGGGGGAGGCTGGGGGAGTGGAGGGGGGTGCTGCAGGCTCGGAGACCAGCTCCACAAGTGTGGCCGTGAACACTCCAGTAAAACGGGATACGTCGTCGTCGTCTTTAGAGCCGTCGATGGTGTCGTAGCCGCGGGCTGATGAGATGCTGGACACGGGGAGCTGTTGTGAGTCCCAGCGTGACTTGAACCTCTCTGCCTCTGCCTCTCTTTCACTTGCAGGAGCAGCAGGCTCCACCTGCTCATCTAAACTCCTCCTCCTCCACTCGTACGTGGGTGCTCCCTCGATGTCATAGCTTAGAGAGGTTTTGGTCATGTTGCCAGTGGTAACCTGTTCCTCTGAATAGGAGGAGGAGTTGCTGAGGTGTTTGTATTCTGTAGAATCGGAGATAGTAGAGGAGGAGGAACTGGAGTAGGAGTCAGACATTCTGTAACTCAGAGAATCAGAAAAGGAGGAACCCTCCCTTTTGTCTGTAAACTGAGAAAGCCCCTCAAATCGGTTTCTCCATCTGTACTCCGAGCCTATCTCTGTGTCATTTGAGTCACTGACAGTAAAGCCACCGTGGCTAAAGTCCGCCGTATCTCGGCTGACCTCGGTGGCATTGGCCTCATTGATCAGAGATACTTTCCGGAAACGAGACTTGGATTCATCCTCTTCGGGGGGAGAGGAAGCCTTGATGTACAGATTGGTGCTTATTCTGCTGTAGCCTGAAGTCACTTCATCTACCGATTCCATCTCCGCTTCAGACGGCAAATTTACTGAAGCAAAGAATTCTGGAGCTGCTGTGGGCGTAGTGGACGCTGTCAGGGACCTGGATGAATACAAAGAAAAAGAGAAAAAAAGAAACAAAGATGACAAAAAACGAAGAGTAAAAGTTTACTTTGACAACGGTGTTTGGTCCAGATTGTTCAGGGTGGGGTCGTCATTCAATGTCAACGTTGCAAATCATTCAAAGAAACTCAAAGTTTCAAACTCAAGGTTTACTCAAAGCCAAAAGGACATGCCAACATACGTACTAACCAAACAATTTAGCTAGTTCCTATTCAAGTGTCATTCAACACAAACCTGGAGAACAAAGACGCCTTAACTTTAAAACCCAGCAAAAGAAATGCATCATAGAAGTGTGTGTGAGGCTTGATTACAGACATGACAAGTACATTCTGTATGCTGGAGGTAGCGAGTTTGAGGAAAAAGTGGGCATTTAGCAGTCTGAAGGGTTTGACCTGAGAAGTGGACATTGTCACTGTGATGTCATTGTCTATTTCACTCTGAATGGGACAAAGATTTACAAAGTGAACGTCAAGCAGTTTTGAAGAAGACTTGAAACTTGCAATTGAGACCATAAACTTCTATTTACTGAGTGAATAAGTCAAGTGAGGAGAAAGTGATTCTCTCCTCTTTTTGCAACAAGGAGGAGTCAGCTGGTCGGTAGAAACAGTGAAAGTTAAGGGACTTCAACACAAGCATCCGTTTTCTAAAACTACTCTAGAGGTTGCTGCCTGAGTCTGACCCACTAAAAGTTTGGATATCTTCCGCGGCTTTAAATTGGTTCATCTTTTTTATAAGCCCTGCAACTTTATGTGCAGGACTTTTATCTTCAACGTTTTTTATTTTGGAGCTTCGCGCTCATTAGACGTGAGCATAAATGCGATCTGATTGGCTGGTGCCTGTGCTGTCGTATCAGCATGGAAGGAGCTGTGAGTGAACCGGGGCCCAGCTTGAGAGCTCATGTGGGAAGCTGAATGTGTGTGTTGCGGACTGAAAGATAAAAATTGGTTGAAAAAATAAAAATAATGTCTTATTAACCAAAAGTCTCACAACCCCCCTGAAGTACCTCCGCGGACCCCCTGTTGAAGACCTCTGTATTATACCCTGATAATTCACATGCAAAAGATCTGCAGTAAAAAAGCAAAGTGGAATGTCTATGGTTTCTATTCCCTTGTGGAGAACGTGGTAGGGTGGGCATAATTGCAGGCACTTAAAAAAATCATACATCAAGTAGTAAGACAAGCATTGAATCATTTGACCTTAACTCGTCATCAGAATCCTGCACTTTGCATCGCACGAAGGAGTGGTAGGATTATAGCTCTGTTCATTTAATTGGGAAGGTTCTCACAGGCCAACGTGGCTGTGTCCTCAAGCAGGGGGCAAGCCTCGACACAATACGTTGGTTATTCAAAAGGTCATGAGAACATAATTTCTTCAGTGAGTCAATTTACCGAATGTGCTGCTACTTAACAAAAGGAAAAACAAACTGAACTAAAACTTTATAGGCTCGCAAAACTTGTCTCGATTCGCTCTTTTCACCTCGTCAGTTGGTCTGACCGCCCAGTAATGATCGGTTTACACTCGTACGGACGTTGGTGGGTGGCTTTGCTGCGTTGATTGACATGTTTGCAATATGTTTTTGACAATCATTCTGTTCGTTTAAGATTTCTCTTTCTGACAAGCGGAGCACATCGCTGCTCAAACCACATGAGCCAAACCCTTCCCGTGAGCCAACGTAAACCTGATACACTGCACTCTAACATGCAAATGATATCCTGCCTCGCAACATTAGCCTCAGGGAGACAGGTAGTTCAACGCGCGCAAGCCCAACATTAGCACAGAAGGTGGTATGTACTGGGACATTATGTAAACCTATACACATGTGCGAGAACATGTACTTGCCTCAACAAGGAATGTGTGCAGTCTCAGAAAAACGTCACACGTAATTGTGTATGAGCGCGGTCAAATTTGCAGCTGTACATTTCACAGAGTTACACCGCAACGCAGAGCAAAGGATAAACTCTTACTAAATATAATTTATGACAATAAATGTTTAACTTCTCTCAACAGCAAACACTCTTCTTTTTTACACAGATTAAGATCCTGATACGTTTGTTTTAATGTCCCCAGGGGGATGAACAAAGATGTTGGAATGTTGTCACCATTCTCCAGGCCTTTGACCGTTCAAACAAAAGCAAAAAGAAACACTCCTTTGTTTAAAATCTCTCCCCTGTCAGGGAATCATGGTCAGAGAATGTCAAGCATGTGCATCTGGATGCTGAGCATAGTTTCGTTTTGTGCAGAAATACACAGGAACATTGCATCAAATCCCAAACTGGAAACAGTGGGAGTCTTTGTTAACATTGATTTTGCCAGTTAAGAGTTCTCTGCAAATAGATAAACTCAAGCAAGCAGAACACATGCAGGCAGAATGTGCGTCCTGCAATTATTAGATACACAAACCATTTTGATCTTCGGTCAAGTTTGCACATGCACAAATATGTGATTTCTCTTTAATCAATCTGAAGTGAGTGGGGAAAAAAACACGTGCTTCCCACTAGCATGGTATCATTGTTAGCCTCCCCCCGTCAGCACTTCTTGAGGGGATCACGGAATGCGAGGTAGTCTGACTTGTGACTGTTTGGATTTCTATCATCCGTGAAGCTGTCAAACACCTGTAAGACCTGCAGCTCGGCTAAGCTCAAGGATCAAGTAGAGTTAACACCCCGTCAGTCACTGCTGTGTTAAAGGGAGCTGCAACCAATCCACACCCGAGTTTAATGTAAGCATATGGACTCCTGGTTAAACGTCATCTTTCAATCACATTGAGTCAACGCCTCTCGTAGAAATGTGCTACATAAATAAAGATTAGATTCATGACATGAAGCATTAGCATTGAACTCTTGTGGGTTTAATATTAAAAGGGGAATCCGGCAACATTTGATCAATTATGTTTGTAATTATTAGAATTATGAATTATGTTTACTAATCTGAAATGTTATTGCATTTGTGAAACAAAAATAAGAATGAAGCCTTTTGTGGCTCCAGAGGGAGCTGTTGATCTTGATGGGACTGAAGACCACAGGGCTGGAACTGGATTAGCCACCTGAGCAAAACGGGCTATTAGATGAAAAGACGTGTGGAAACAAGCTATTTTTTCAGAAAACCCAACCGACCGACTTTGTCACAAACTTTCTGTCATCCTAGATTGTTTTCACCCTGGTCACTAATTCTCCTGTCATTTATTTCCAGCCTCTCGCCCCCAATCAGCACTCAAATCCCTCACCTGCAGCCCGTCCCCTCATTAGTTCCTCACTATTCAGGTCCACTCACTTGCACTCGTCCACTGGCCGATTGTCTTGTGTGTGTCCTTGTATTCCGTATCTAACCAGCCTGTTCTGACCCCTGCCTGATGTTTTTGACCTTGGATTCTCTGCCTGCCCCCTTTTGGATTTGGTCGCCTGTCTGAAAGTCTAGTGAGTAACCCATCTTATCTGAACTGTCGTGCTTTCGTTTCAGAGTACTGCTTGAACCTTACGCTTTGGTCTTGAATTTGATGAACAGTATTTGCAAGGAGTTTGCTTACTGTAAACGCATGGAATAACAGTCAGGCAACAGCCGGTCTGCCATACTGAGAATAGGAGATTGAGAATAAAGCTGCCAGAGCAGAGATCTGGCATAAATGGCTCGAGTGACTGCCGATTGGTGAATTTGGAGAGAGAAGAAAAACTAAGGAAAGTGAATTGCTGCATCAAGTTCAAAAGGTCAGAGAATATGTATATTTTTCACACCACATTTTTTAGGAGGGTGGGTCCTAAGTGAGTACATTTCTCGCGTGGATGCCCAGCGTTCTTCAGCGTGACAACATTGCAGAAGAACGAGACAGGTGGGGCACGGCAAATAACTCCTCTCTCAATAAGCATCAGCAGCTTTGTTCACCAGAGGGTTTGATGTGACAGCTAGTGGGCAGGTTACTAAGAAATCTCGTACCTTCACTTAACCTGCGGATAGCGCCACATGATCTCTATCTATCATTTGTCGATCATTTGTCATTTTCATATAAAAAATAAATAACCGCAGATAACGTTATAGCTCAACCCCCCCCCCCCCCCCCCCCCACACTATTTTGTTCTTTATTTGGAACTTATGTGAGTTTATTTGTGAAATACAGGTCTTTGCCGCCACCTTGTGATTAAAAATAAATCAATTCAATTTGACTAATGCACCCTTACCTGACACACAACTGGTTACACAACAGTGGTACAAACTATCCATCTAAACAGCGTATATGGAGTGATGAATCAAAAGCCACAGGATTCCTTCATAGAGAAGGAAGAGGAAATTAGGTTATCTGGTGTGCTAATAATAATAATTATTACACACATGGCAGAATGATGTGACACTAGAAAAACACAGCATGACGCAAATGTAAAGATGAGCACTCAGCTAAAGGTGGCTGTTATTATTGATAAATTGAATAGGAATGTCCCCTTGTCCACTTTGTCTCTCTGCTTCCTGATACTTATAACCTAAACGGTTAATAGATTAAACGGAAAAAAAATGACTTATGAATTAAATCTTTTCAAGGACCCCCGCTTTGATTGCCACGGCCCAACGTTGAGAATCTGGGGTAAATTGTTCCACCTTATTGTACGGATTGAAAGCTCAGGGTTGAACAAAGAATGAACTAAGCTTGCACAGTATGTGGATTCTGACAGGTGATGTGACAGTGAACACTATCACTCGACATGTGGTGCATTAAAAAGGGTGTGTTCACCCGCTGATGTTAAACAAGACTCACTTATCGGAAGAAATGCCAGTCGGATCAGAATTGATATGATAAAGTGAAGTTCCTCATTTAAAATGCCTCACTTTGGCTGCACAACTACATTTTTTATATATACTATAATTCATACTGAGAACCATTTAACGCTCACTCATGAGTTCCCCCGGGGCCACATCGTAAACGTTTTATTACAGCAGCTACAGAAACAATTTAGGTAAATTCCAACTCGTAAACAGCAAACGACAGATCGCACACTGAGATGAGCCCTTTTTAGACAAATTACATATGTGATTAGTGTTAATCTTCAGAACCTTCTCCTCTCAAGGGAGACCTCTCCCTCCCCTTACCTCGGAGTCGGGTCGGGTTGTTGTGACGGCGTCTCTGCCGCCTCCGGATCAGGTCGGCGTGTGTCAGCATCGACCGCTGTGGTTCTGTCTGTGCTCTCAGTAATCGTCTCCACCCACTCGCTACTCAGCGCGCCACTATTGTGATCAACCCCTGTGGCATCTGACTCTCCTCCAGCAGAGGCATCTGTGACTGCTCTACCCGGGGTGCTACCGCCACTTTTATTGCCTTCTTTGCTCACTTCGCCCATTCGAGCGCAGTCGACTGCAGTCGGCGAAACTTGCTCTTCAGCTTCGTCTGACCTGGGTGTGATCGTGTCACCAGTGCTACTGGAGGCGGTGTTTATGCACTCGGAGCTCATAGGGGTTCTGTGACCCACGGGGGGAATCTCCTGGCTCGGGAGTTGCGTCTCGCCATTAGGGTGGTCTTCCGTTTCCAACTCCCCGGTCAGGTTTCCCTCCGACCCCTCCTCCCGAGGCTCACTGGGGGGCGGAGCGAAGTCGCATACCATCGGCGTTTCCACCTGCTGAACCGGTGTGGCAGGTAACTCCCCCTCATCTCTCAGCTGTGGAAACACCGGGGCTGCTACTTCTTCCTCCCGACTCTCTGTGTCACTGCCAACAACAAGCTCTGTTGTTTCAGTCTCTGAACTCCAACCTCCAAGTTTTTCTAAATGACTATTGGCATCCTCTTTCTCTTCTTTGCTGGCCAGTATGACTCCCTCGTTTTGCATTTTAACTATAACCTCCTGAAATTCTCCGTCTTCTCTCTTTTCTATCCCTCCATCTGCAATCTGCCCCCGCTGTGGAAACTCCTCACACAGGCCGGCCTCTTGCCCCCCGTCTGCACCGCAACTTTCCACTCGTTCATCCGGGGAGCCATCCTCTTCCATTCCGTTGTCCTCCTCGGCACTGTAGTAGATCTCCCCCATGCTGCCCTCTTCCGATCCAACGCTGCTCAAATATGCTGGACTTAAGAACCCTTCTGACCCATCAGTCTGTCCCGAAGTAGTAGAAAAAGTCTCCATTGTTTCGATCCTAACCTCAAGGCGCTTTGCTGCACTCATTTTCTCCGGCGTGGGAGCGAGACCGACAGGATCGGTGCTCGCCTCCTCTGTGACCGACTCTTTGATGAGGATCGCTCTCCGTTTAGGCCGAGTAACCCGAGTGTCTCCCCCTTGGATCGTTCCACAGTCGGACGCGGGAGGGGTGGAGCTTTGAAGCGCGAGGACTGACCTCGCATTGTCTTGAATGAGGCGTAAACTGTCCGATTTCATCTCCGAAAGGGAGGGAGTCGTCTCTGCGTAAGGAATTGTTTCAGAACCTGAATTTAGAGAGGAAGGTAGATGTCTACTGTAAACATCCGGCTCTCTTCGCGCCTCACAAGCAGTAGATGTTTGGTAAGAGCTTAATCCGGAACTCTCGCTGGGATCAATCCCCTTTCTCTCGCTGAAGGTGGTATTTACGGACGCATAACCAGCAACGGCATCATCCACTCTGAGAGAAGCAGAGTCAAAGTGAACATTAGTTTCTCTACCACAATCATTGAGGGTTTTGACCATGAACGGTTCGGTTTGGTTCTTCACAGATCTTATCTCTGTGATGATTTGAGGCGGTGGGTTTGAGAGGGATGCCGCTACATCCGAGCTGAAGCCCTGGGGGAAAAGAGACTCGTACAACGCGCCATAAACTGCTTCTTGTCTGACCGGCGAAGCGCCTTTCTCAGCGCTAACGCCCGCGGTTTTCTTCAGGGGAGCAGATCTCTCAGCGCCCGAGGTTGAGTCTTCCTGATTGATGGATGCGGAGTCCGGGTCAGGAGCCGAGGCGCGAGGAAGAAGGGTCGACTGTGCGACCGCAGGGTCAATTTTGGAGTCCGTTCTTGCCAGAGACGGTTCACGTTTTGGACTTGTAGCGGGGACGTCCGGTTGGCGATGGGACAATGGGACTGTGGTCGATTCGGTGAGAGAGATTCCTGCGTTTGCGTGAGACTGCTGGAGAATGTCATTTTCAAACGGACCGTTAGTTGCGGCAGCGGAGTCGACTTCGTGAACCGAGGTCTCTTGCGGGGCTGTTGGCGTGCTCGCCGGTAGGCCGGGTACCGTCTGGTTGTCCAAAGCGGAGCGGCTTTCTGTTTGAGTCGTGGAGGCTGACGGAGGGGAGCTACAGTCCGGTTTCTCCTCCGCCGAGTCCTGATTATGAAGCTCCAGCTCAGGGATGAAGGCATCCGGTGGTTTCTGCGGCTCCACGTGTACGTCGAACACGTCGGAGACAGCGGGCAGGCGCTCCATCGTCTCTGGGGGGGTGCTTAAGGCGACGGATGACAGCGCTTGGTCAGGGCAGGTAGCATGTGACCCTGGTAGGTCTGTGGTCACAGGGGGAGGAGAGGGGATGTCAAACGTATCGATGGTGTCAAGCTCTGGTTGAGACATGCTGAAAATCGTCTTGGCCTGATCCAATTCTAACGGAGGAATCTGTGGAGAGAATTTACAGCAGTTTAGTTTGTAGATATTGAGGACTCAGTTTACTCTTCTCTTATTTTATTATTGCAATGGAACCACAGGGCCAAGCGTTATGCATGTCTGAGAAATATAATCTCGTTAAAAAAAAAAAACTAATAGTCTTTATTATCTTTGAACTTGTAATAACTGTCTGGTTTAATCAGCTTTTAAGGGAGAGGAACATGTTCTAGAAATATACATTTCATAGACTCGACTTGTCGAGCAGCCAACTTCTTGGCAACCATTTGCTCATTTATACATTCCATGTTTTTTTTGGGAAAGTGAGATTTTGCCATCCGACCTTTTGCTCTGTTTTTGGTCCTGTTTATTTCTTAAGAGGAATTCTGACTCTTCGGCTACACGCTCCACTACGTTCACCTGAAGGCCGCTAACTATACCCTTTTCCGCTGTTTGTTGCGGAGCAGTTTGCGTACAGGGAGTTTTTCTTTCATTCACAACAGCTGCTTATCATACCTGCAAAAACAGCAGTTGTAGCCCGAGAGCTGAACAATGAGCTGAAACCTGCATAAAGCTCTGTGAAACCAAAACGTAGCTGCAGATTTGGGGTGATGAACCCCGGTAGCCATGGGCCAAAGCTTAACCCTGCGAGAGTTACCTCCTTTTGCTCTTCAATCCCGGCACCATGAAGGCCGTAGGTGCTCTTAGAGATACTCGCTTGATCATTCTTCTTCCTCTTTCGAAGACCAAAGGAGAAAGTGGCAAACCTCTTCGGTTTACGGAGGTCCATCTCGGAGTAGCTGAATTCTTTTCCCTGAGAGGAAGAGGGAGAGATGGAATGTGAAACAGGGTAAGAGGGAATAAGAAATACAAAACAGTAAGCGTAATATGTTTCTAACACGCATTTATCCATTATGGACTTTGTTTCTATTTTCTGCTCTTCAGTCCGTATGTTTAGACTTTAAATCCCTGCCAAAATTCTATATAGGGATTATTAATTGTGAGTTTGATTAACATACAAATAAAAAGACAACTTTCCATTAATACCGAGTTAACAGTTAACAATTTAGATAGCTGTGAAAGATAAACTTTCACAGCTGCTTTCAATGGCAAGAATGAGGATATTGTACAATGAAAAATGCACCGTGAAAGAGTTGACACCCTAACTTCATTCCAAGCATTTACAAGCTACTCCACCCTAAAGAAAAATTAGACTAGTAGAACACGATCTAGTAAAACTGATAGACGTGTCCTTTTCCAATGAATCCAGTATACAAAGCAAAGTGAGTCTCACTGAATCATTGTGACCGCTTGGTTTGAGTACATTTTACTGTTACTAAACAAAAATGATTTCTATAAATAATTATTACAAAACACGATAAGCATGAAAAGGTTTGAAAGGATCTTGCGTAAGGACCTAGTTATGACGCAATGTCAGATATTCAAAGGAGTGCTGCTTCACGAAAACACTGATTGCAATCGAGGTCAGAAAGACGTGATGCTATTCTGTTGATTGTGTGCGCGTCATCTGTTGAGCCAAACAACAACAAACAAAGGTGAATGGAACACACGGCTGTCGTGGCCATCAGCCAGCTTTTTAACTGGGTGTGCCGGTCAAAATTCTTCCTGTGATGAAAGTATTTGAAGCAAAAGCAACAATCGCCGTGGAGTCTCACCTGAGTGGGTAGTGTTTGACGCATGTAAAGGCACATTGAAGGGATTGTGTTTACTGTAAGCATGAAAAGAACTAAATAAGATGGAATGATTAATCAAAGTGAATATTTTACTTACATTTCAGGTCCTACTATTAAGAATGATATGCTTGCATTTGAGAAGAGACTTTTAAAAGCATTGAAAGAAATTTCTTTCTCATTCAATTCAACAAGAAAGTGTGTCCAAACTTTCGACGCGTACTGTATAAGTATATACTGTCAATCAAATGCAGATCAATAAATATAATTAAAGCTTTTTTGCAGAAAAAAGTTCTGGTCTGACATGACGCCCCAATTAAAAGGATGCGTGGAAACATAAATGAAATACACAATGGGACAAATGCTCACTACCCTCTGGCAGTGACACACTTTATATACGGTATCTTATGTTTTAGTCCAGTGGGGATCAAACCCAGGTAGTTGCTGTGCATTATAATGCCCTTTTTTATAAAGTTTGTATCACATGTTCACGCGCAAAGCAATTCACTTGAGAAATTAGGAGATGATTTGCTGAATTTCCTCCCACTATTGCTCCTTTGTAAACAGAATTTGCCAAACCTGGCAATCATGAGAGGAATTGTCCTCTCAATTCCTCTCATATTTTGTGTCACCAAGTCTGTAAAGCAAGTCTGTAATGGATGTTTGCAAAAACAGTCAGACCAGCATTGATTCTCAACGATGCTGCTGTTCAGTTAAGCACTGGTGCCCTCTTGTGGAGGGAACAAATATTCGGTGCATTGCTCCTGTTTGGGTATCTACTGCTGGCATACATGGGAAACAAGCCAGTGAGGCACTTTGTTAAAGTGAACTACTGTTTTTAGGGTGTATTACAGAGTTTGCATGTCCTGCAGAATGACCTGCTTTGTGTGGAGCGTGTGGAGGTTCTCCTACGGACCCCCACGTCGTTACCACAGCAACACATGTGATCTGATCACGTGGGAATATTCTTGATAACGGCTCTGCCTGCAGTCTGAATGTAGCTTAAGAGCTTCCTGTACCTCATTCTATCAGCAGGACCCGGAGTGAGAACCCCGCAGGGCGGAATGCAGTTACCGTTGAACTGTGGCTGGTTGAACTGTCGTTGATAGAGGGTAGGCAGTGTTCCAAGTGTTTCCCTGAAGGATATTGTTGTTTGGACAAGCACCGAGAGAGAAAGAACCTACAGGCCTGTTCTGCCTGAGTAAAACACTGATTCGCACACTCCCAAAGTTGAGTTATGACATTTTTTTGCATCGCTCACATGCAGTGTTAAAGGTTTGTCTTGTAATATCTTGTGGGAAAAAATGCTAAATGCTAAAGGCTAAACATATAAATTCTATTATAAACATCACACAAGCTGTGATGACAGTGAAAACTAATGAGGGTTTATTACTGGTAACCAGACTGGCAACTGGCATCTTTTTACTCACACCCTAGACTAAACAGTCAACATATTTGTACTGATAAACGTTGTGGTCATAATGGCCTTGAGCAATTACAGGACATATTTTATAAATGAAGGGACGACTATTTTGTCTCTCTGCGTGTCACACATAAAAAAAAGCAGATAGCAGATAATCGAACATTAGCCTTCCAAATTTAGACACACTGCAAACCACAGGCTCCTGTGGATGGTGGTTCTGTCTGATGGCGGTTGCCCCTGCAGTGGTCCTGCTGTGCGCCTGGCTTACTACTCACAATTACTTGAATCATTTCTGTCATAGGAATTGCATGTATTATATATTGTTCATTCTGTACACATGGCATCCATTGTAGTCTGTCCATCCCTGGAGTGGGATCCCTCCTCTGACGTTCTCCCTAAAGGTTTCTTCCCTTTTTTCCCTCTTGGAAGATTTTTTTTTCATTTTTTGGGGAGTTTTTCCTGTGCCGATGGTGGGTTTCGGGACAGAGGATGTTGTATGTGTACAGACTGTAAAGCCCTCTGAGGCATATTTGTAATTTGCGATTTGGGGCTATACCAAAAAAATGAATTGAATTGCATTTATAAGTTAGCACACAACATGCAGACCAATTATCCCCTTTTAAGACAGTAAAAAAAATGTAATGTTCTGTGGTAAATAGTTGTTGGTTTAGTGGGAGCACGGTGCTTACTGAGATATCAGACGGTGTTTTAGTTTAAGCTTTACTCTCCTGTAGGTACACGTGCACACACACTTTTTTTTCCCCGCTTGCAGCCGAACGTTACTATCATCATCAGAGGAAGGGCTATCCCTCTCGATATCTCTCCCCTTAGGATTCTAGAATTCTTTCTGGAAGTCAGATTTTCTTCAGGTTTATTTTTGTTAATACCGCGGGAGGGTTCTGAAACCCATCTTGATCGGGTCCTATAAAGCCATCATTATCACATATTAATACAAGCGATATCCGTCTGTTAAGGAAAAAAAGAGGGTCGACATGACAAACCGCTTGACTGACCTTTGACCTTGATGTGGTGCCGTAGATAGAACTCGTGTTCTCCGATGGAGTATTTTGGACCCAGGCCTCTGCATCCTTGGAAGTGACACCGGGCTCAGCAGCACTGAGAAAAACACAGTTGAAAATAATACATTAAGTCAGAACACTTTTAAACTGTTACAGCTGAAATTGCCTTTCTTTTAAAGTTTTGACACTGCAGAAGAAAATACATGAGCCATGACAAGCTGTAAGATCCTCTGAGATTTGCACTGAGAAGATAATTTATGAAGATTGAAGGAAATGAGCTAATGTATTTAAGCACACCATAAATACATTAAAAAGTTTTAGAAGACTTGGCGAACCCATATAATAATAACTGTTACTGTACCTGTACTGAGCATTATTTTCTTAAAATATCAAAAAGCCTTATTACATATATTATATATGCATTTACTCAACCTTTAGACGGGCAATGTTATTGAGAAACACAGATTAATTCTAGGGACCTAAAGGGGATATTTGATGGCCACAAAGTAAATCTTTTGGGCAAAAGCTAATGTCAAACCCTGGAATTACTAAGTTAGTGTGTAGTACAGTATACTGAAACAACCAGGGAGTGAACAAATACACATCCTTTTTTAACCAGTATAAGCAGTGACTTAAAAAAAAATGCTTTTGCTGCGTAACAATTTAAAGTAAGTAACCATCTTTAGGGAACGTTCAATAGAACCAGCTAAGCAGAGTGACTTTGTGTTTCTTGGAACAGCGTTCCAATTTTAATAGAACTTTTACTTTTAGCACAGTCAATTTTTTTTTTTATGCAGATCATTTAATTTTCCGTCTATGTAGTGATGAAACATGCTTTTGGCTTTGTCCAGTTAGCGGCCTCAGTGTGAGGCTTCAAAGTCAGCATGAGAAGCTGTATAAATAATTGTGAGCTGTCAAAGAAATGAAACAAAGGTTCCTTCGAACACACAGGCGGTTTTGCGTTGCACAACTGGACGAGCAAACATTACCAGCAGATCCACATGGACCACTGTGACAAACCAGTCTATGTTTTCACGTCTGCACAGAACAAACATTCACGCCATTTGCTGTAGTGAAACAAGGAAAGGGAGCTTTTGCTGCACACATGTAGGTGAGAACTGCTCCCGCTCTTCCCCGTATGAAGGGCTGGTGCGCCTTCAACAGGAGAGGTTTGAAACTTTTATCTAACAGAAAGAAACATGCAAAGCCTTTCACTTTCAACATAAACACTTGACATTTCTGAAAGAAGAATCTTGATTTGGATGAATTCCAACAGGATGTAACCTCTTTACTTTCTCTCATGCTGTCCAGTAAAAGTGGGAATACTTGTTTGCATAACGAGACTGATAAAAAAAAAAGAGAGAGGGGTGGAATTACACATTTGCATCTCTATCTGCAAACTGGCACACACTACGTGTTTTCTGTATCTCGATTGACTTAAATAGGTACCACCTCGTTTATATAAGGAACTGTTTAAATGCATTGAGTTAGCTGCTTGTTAGCTTAGCATAAGAGGGGGACGCCGCTAGCCTCGCTCTGTACTAACAGAACAGTGTCTTCGGCCACGCCAACTGCTTGCCCCTCTTCAGTCCTTATGCTAAGCTAAGCCTACCGGACTGCTAGCTCAAGCTTCATATTTACTGTCCAGAGCAAGCGGGTACCCGTGTTCTCATTTATCCCTCCCCCAATTGCACCGGACCATTTCCTCCTAAAATCCTGTTGATGTTCTACTGAGATATAAAAGTAAAACTTACTTCCAGTCTTTGTTAACCTTTGTGTGTACCGTTAGGCATGTGGCCACAGTCAAGCTTGTCAGACATGTGTAACCAGGATGTTAGGAAGAGGACAGACAGCAGTCTTCCTACGCTTTGTTAGTTACTGTGTGTTTAGTAAAAGGATGCATGGCTGCTTAGCAAAACGATGGCATTCTAATTGGACCCTAAATGCAGCTAAATATGAAAGGTTTTCAGCATCACAATGTCGCCTTAATTGGTCGAGGGCCTCCCCACAGTGTTCCCACATGTACTATGACCACCACACAACGGTTATTGCCCAAAGGGCACGTAGTTTATTTTACAGTATTTTCATTCGGAACACACAGCCGATACTGGGACCAATTATGAGAGTAATTTGTTCATTCTCATTGATGCTCCCTATTACGCTGTGGTGAATTGTGCAAGATAATTAGTTGAAATGAACATTGTGTGGATAGAGGATGGTCCTTAAGCCTCCCATTTGAATGAACAGACAGGACTAGAAGCAAAGCAATGTAATCATTTGTACGTCATTCAAATCCACAATGAGTCAAGCATTTCTTTTGTCTCCCGTGTCATTTGGAGTCAATACCCACATTTAACAAAAAAACGAGGGTCAATGGAACGGACAAAGCATGAACCCGGCAGCAGTAACACCCATTTACTACTTGAATCCTGCAATTGATTTAACTGACAGTCATCTATAATTTCACTGGAACTGGCTCTATGAATCCCTCTAATTGTATTTAACCTGGCCCATCAATACAAAGCCATGAAAGGAAGAAATTAAGCTGATCCATAATAAATAAAGTCCTATGATGTTGCAACGCATTTGTCTAATACTTGGATATAATAACATGTCATTCTACTTCATTAAAAATCTTTAATAATCACATTATCTTTGGAGTTGTGTGCAGCCCGCTCACTTCCTGCACCTGTGACCGGTTCAACCATACAGTGACTCAATTGTTCTAAACAATCTCAGATATTTAACCGCAAAGTTGATACTTCCAACCTTTAAATGTGACTAATATGTTGCAAATGTGCCCCTGACACCATCATAATGCAGTAGGCACGTGGAGCAGCAGGTTTGTCTACACTGAACCTCTTTTGGTCTACAACTCCACTCGGGAGCCCGACAAACAGCAAAGTTGATACTGATTCCACCCAACTGGCAGTGTGTTTGAAAAGGCAACTTGCGCATTTCTTCCATCATTCTACAACAGTGTTATGATCTAAAATGAGTCCCATACGACTTTGACACGCCCTTGGACTGTATGCAATGCTGTGGTGTCAAAACAAACCGCATAACTGCAAGATATCTTCCTTTAACCCTTAAATCCTCCCCGGACATGGGATTAAAACTTAATCCTTACAACAAAAACCGATTCAGTTATGTCTGGATTTGACTCTGATCTTGCACATTCATCTTAGATGTCAACAATTAGGGAATGGACTCATCAGATCAAATGTAAAAACTCTCTTAACTGAATGTATGCACCGTCTAACTCAACCCCGTTGTAATCCCTGTGTGCAGCTCCTCTGTGTGCGAAGGCGGACCTCAAAGTCCACACACCATCATTTGCTTTCGTCCCTGTGCAAACGCAAACTGTCACAGAGTTTGCTCTACAACCACACCGACAACATGATTTCATTTTCTGAGCATGCAACAAGTGGCTCAACCAGGCCCTCACCTGTGCGCAGGTTGACACCTCTATGCTTATATCTTGTGTTTATGTATAATGCTCTCATTGACACACATGTTGACACAACATGTGCATGCATGACACTGCTAAGACACAGATGCTTCAGAGTTCACTTTGGGTTTTTGTGTCACTCCGATAGCTCTGCTCCTTATGGCCCATCTGGTAATCTAGCCATGATTTCATTTTCTGTTTGCTCATGAGCACTTCACAGTCTAGCAGATGTTTCAAAAAAGACTTTATGGCTCTGCTGTAAAAGCAGCCCACCTTTGGAACCATCGTTTAGAAGTCAATGCCTAAAAAAAAAAAAAAAAACGGCTTCATCTTTTACATTTTGGATCTTTTCCTCTTGATCTTTATCTGTAAGGAGGTACGTCTCTACTTTGTATTCTTTAGTAATGTGTCTCACCATTTTGCTTATCTATCTTTTCCATAAGAGAAGCAGCAAAAAAATTGTATCAATGAATCTGTTGCCTATTTTATATCCCATCTTAATCAGATTGGTAGTCTTTAAAATGTCAGAAAATAGAGCTACATATTCAATGCAGATGCTCGGTGGCAAAGTTTGCTTATTTAAGTTGCTGATTCCACCCAACTGGCAGTCCAAAATGAAAATATTTTTAGTTATTAATATCATTGAAGACTTTTAAACCAGACACACAATATTATAAACAAGTTGTAAGGCTCTTTTGCATGCATGATAACTGAACGAAAGGACTACAATACTAAAGGCTTCGCACTCCCCTTTTTCAACAGAAATCTCCACAAACGCAGTCATTTTCAGTCTTGGTCATTCTAAATGTATGTGCTGTGGTTCAGCTGTCATTAACCTCATTTATTTTCACACTGACTGCCGGACTGTGGGATGAAATATGACTTCAAAAGGGCGCGTCCCATTCAAAGAAAGCGTGCAGAACAATTTCAAAAATTCTCTTCCATACCCACAAAGTGCGTCTAACCAGTGTTCAACAATGAAGACTGTCCCCTCAGTACGGCTCCATTTAGAGCGTCACGACAAGACAGCGCATCGCTACTGCAAATCCCCGACGTTCTGCAAACATACCTGACCAAGTCCTGGGTCCCATTGGCCGCCTTCACAGTGGCGACGTCATTCTTTGTCTTTTTTTTCAACTTCAGGAATCTAAACCTCTTCTTCTCTCCGTCACGCTCTTCCTTTTCCACCGATTTGTCCAGGCTGACTTCGCTCCTGGAGAAGAAACTTTTCAGAGAGCGTCTGGATGAGCTCTTCGCCATCTCCACACCGCGCGTAACCACTGATGCGCGCGAACAAAAGCCCTTTCCAACAGGTGATCACTTTATTAAAGGGTGATGAAAACAGTCGCCGCGTGGGAAAACACTGCACGTATGCCGCTTGTTGACAGATACAAGCTGCTCCTGCTGTCTCCTTCTCCGTGCGACGTGAAGAGCTCAGGTGTTGACACGCCCACTATAAGCTCCGCCCAAGTGTCGGGAAGCCCACGAGAACAGGTTCAATATATATATATATATTATATAATATATGGAATCAGGAACATTTATTTCCAAAAAATATGTCACCTGAGCTCTGGACATATAAGGAATTTGACTTTCTCGGTTGGTGCATAACATCAGGCAGTAAGAAAATGGACATCATGACAGATAAGACAACATAGTGCAAGAAATTGTTCAATTTACAAATTTACAATTTTACTCTACGGTGTAAAATAAAATATAAGGCTATGGGCGTGGGGGATATAGAATAAACAATAAAATTAAGGATAAGAAGGAATTAAAATAAAAAAAATAAAAGTTAAAAATAAAGTGCACCAGCGAACAGATAACCATACAACCATGTGTTGTGAGTGTATGTGACAAGTGACAAGTGTAAGTGCATGTGGAGTGTGAAGGGAGGGTTTGATAAGTATCACGTGAACTGTGAGACGGTTTTTTTCAAACATTCATCTGTATATGTTGAGCTGGGGATTGGTTTGTTTTTTAGAGTTAAACAAGTTTTAGTGTTAAACAAGTAGCACACTTGAACTTACTTCTAGTTGTGCAGAAAGTTGCCGTCTTTGATTGGATCCTGCACGCTAATAGCGCCATCGTGAGGTGGAGAAAGCCACATGCAGGTGTGCATTGATCTGTGGTCCAGTGGCCTCTCAGCGCACCTGTGATCCGGCTGCGACTTGCAAAGTCACCACAAGATGTCGCCGTTCATCCACTGAGAATGCGTGTTCACGTTCAACAGTGCACGAGGAATAAAATACAAAGCCATGGGTTAGTAGTATAAGGCTATGGGTTAGTTTAAAAATAAAGGAATAAAAGTTAAAGTAAAAAACATTTAGAAAGATTAAAAATAAAGTGCACCAGCAAACAAAGTGACAAGTGAAAGTGACGTGTGCAGTGAAAAAGAAAGTGACCGGTGGGACGTCACAGTCAGTCAGTGGGGAACGGGCTCTGTTGATGAGCCCGACTGCCGACAGGAAGAAACTGTTGGTGTGGCGGGAGGTCTTAGTCCTGATGGACCTCAGCCTCCTGCCAGATGGAAGGGGCACAAACAGCTTTTGTCCAGGTTGAGAGGGGTCGGCTACCAGCTTGCTTCAGGGTCCTAGATCCGAACAAGTCCTGGAGAGACGGCAGATCATGGAGTTCATCCTCTGCTCCTCCATCACTGTCTGGTACGCTGCAGCCACAGCCAAGGACAAGGGCAGGCTGCAGCGTGTCATCCGCTCTGCAGAGAGGGTGATCGGCTGCAATCTGCCGTCTCTCCAGGACTTGTTCGGATCTAGGACCCTGAAGCAAGCTGGTAGCCGACCCCTCTCAACCTGGACAAAAGCTGTTTGTGCCCCTTCCATCTGGCAGGAGGCTGAGGTCCATCAGGACTACGACCTCCCGCCACACCAACAGTTTCTTCCTGTCGGCAGTCGGGCTCATCAACAAAGCCGGTCCCCCACTGACTGACTCTTACGTCCCACCGGTCACTTTCTTTCTCACTGCACACGTCACTTTCACTTGTCACTTTGTTTGCTGGTGCACTTTATTTTTAATCTTTCTAAATGTTTACTTTAGCTTTTATTCCTTTATTTTTAAACTAACCCATAGCCTTATGCTACTAACCCATGGCTTTGTATTTTATTCCTCGTGCACTGTTGAACGTGAACACGCATTCTCAGTGGATAAACGGCGACATCTTGTGGTGACTTTGCAAGCTGCAGCCGGATCACAGGTGCGCTGAGAGGCCACTGGACCACAGATCAATGCACACCTGCATGTGGCTTTCTCCACCTCACGATGGCGCTATTAGCGTGCAGGATCCAATCAAAGACGGCAACTTTCTGCACAACTAGAAGTAAGTTCAAGTGTGCTACTTGTTTAACACTAAAACTTGTTTAACTCTAAAAAACAAACCAATCCCCAGCTCAACATATACAGATGAATGTTTGAAAAAAACTGTCTCACAGTTCACGTGATACTTATCAAACCCTAAAGTTGCCTTTTATGTGCTCCTCCGTAACAGTAGCCGTGCACTTTGGTTGCATTGCTCCTGAGGAGATACGAGACTGAAAATAAATCCCACATCGTCTCTGATAATAGGGGTCATTAAAGTGAAATCATTCTATCCCTCATTGTGCTGGAATTCCCCTGCAGCGACTTCCAGTGACACTGTATGACCTCATTTGCAATGAATTGGTCAATAAAATGACCCTAATCAAAATCAAATGACTATACTGAATTAGTTAAAAGTATTTACTCAAATCTTCACCCATGGCTGGATTCATGAATATAGGCCACAAGCTGCTGTGCCCCTATCAAGCCCTGCGCCTCCACGACCCAGGCATAGTGTTTTTACACTAGCATTTGGTAAGTTGCTTTGCCGCTCAATAATGGATGCACATCCACATTATGGAGTGTTGCACAGAATCATGTTAGTGAAGTTAAGCAAAGCCAAACCGAAAGGTTTTTCCAATTTTAACTCATGTTGAGACCGAATCTTCAATTTGACCATTTGGGTCTCATCAAGTCAGTTTGACAATTTTTCAGGTAACTTTGAAACTTTCAACTATTCTGACATGTCAGGTATCACCTCTGTTTTTACTGTGGGCTCATTTAGTTGCTAGATGTTGGATACGTCTTTTCTTGAGGTAAAAAATTGTTTTTTGGGTTGCCACATACAGCTTGCAACATGTTTCCTCTGGAGGGGTTTAAGAGGTGTGACAGACCTTTTCTCTGCCCAGACGGGTCGATATGAAGGCGGTAGGAAGTGAATGATCTATCTTTCATTGAACTGTGTCATGCATTGAATTAACACAGCTACTTTATGTCTTGGACTGACCAAATGTGGTGATATAAACTAGCATTTATTACCTTTTAAAATGTGTCCAAACTTTTGACTGGCACTGTGTGTCAGACCTTTAGACCCATTTAGCTGATTGCTGCAGCGTAACCACCTCGTGCTATTACTCAGAACACAACTCCCATGTATATGGCTTCTACTGCTGGTAAAAAAAAAAAACTGCAATCGAAAGTCAAACACTGAGGTCAAACCGAAGCTAACGGTGAAGGGATGAACCCTGCTGATATATACCGTTAAAGGTGTGTCCCTCTCATCATCAATCACAGTCATTTATTCAACTCGGACCTAGTGAACTTTAACATCAGAAAATAAGTATTTTGTCTCAACAATTCACCGTCATGAGCATACACACACGCACACACACCTTGGTCATTGACTTTATCTCATCATCTTTCTGTTGAAATAAAACAGAACGTCAGTCACGTAATACTCAAGAGTTGCAGCTGTGACTACATTGGACACAGATGTTTGGAAATCTCTTCCAAGTAACTGGAATTGGCGATAACTTGTAGTAACAATACATTCTTTTAATTAAAGGTATTTTACTGAACAACTGTCATTTCAGTATGTACTTTTCTAACAATGTAAACAATTGGACAATTTTTTTATTTGAATAACTGGTTTTACTTACTTTTAACATCCCCAACTCCAGTTTTTGAAGATATTGTAAATCACTAACTCATTGAAATGTTTGCAATTTGACTTCAAAATGTCACATTTCCTTTCAAAAGGATGTTTCTACCTTTAAATCACTTACTTAGACCAAAAAAATATTGTTGAAGGTTATAAGAAACCGATCAAAAAAAATATGAGATGGATAGATGAGTACTCTGGGCAGGAGGAAGCATTTTACAGTTTCCCCACTGATGCTGTGGCTGATAGACACGACGCGTTCTCTGTATGTGTCCCTATTTTGTGCATTGATCAGATTTAAGTCCAATGGGGTGTGACGTGATGCAACGTCTGACTAATGTTGCAAGTAGGCGGAAATTTCAGGGTCATTCACGGTTATGTTGTGTACATTTAGTTAGTCACAGAATTAATATAAGTGGCTGTGTCAGTTATAGGTACAAAGAGGTCATTTACCTCGAGTAATGTTGATTAATTGGTGCAACATTCTTTTCACAACTTCACAGCAGAATTTCATTTTCCATTGATTCTGAAGAGTTGCAGGAGTATGATTTTAAATAATGAATAATAAATTATAAAATGCGTATCTTTCTATTTGTTAAATTTAGTTTTTACAAGGTTAAGAAAGCAACGTTTAATCTAATCCTGATGTTGCCACAACCATGAACACAGTCACTTCCACCAAGTCCAAACTATGCAGACATTCGCTATTTTCCAACAGGTTTATAATCCTGATTCATATTTTCATTCTTTTAGGGGACAGTATTATTATTTTGATGCAACACTAGCAATTTCCTGAGTTAATATACTGGTTTTAGCTCTCCTTTCCTCTCATAGAATGATTCACTTTAGCTTTCTCATTGTTTCTGAGAAACAGGGTAGGATGTCTGGTAGGTGGTGATGTGGATTATGTCCACATAATGCTTGTGAGTTTCTCTTATACACAATGCTAATGACACATCTCTGTCCGGAATTGATGAATTGCACTAACCTCAATGCAGTCTGACGAACTCACCCTGCAATGCTCTTTACCAGTATGCAGAGTTGAGGCAGGTTGAACGAGATGCATGCTACGCGCTACAATCAGGATTTCGCTGTTGCATCCTTCAAGAAATAAATAAAGGGGACAGTGTTTAGTCTTCATGGTGCACATTACATGGAGTTGCGACGTTTTTTTTGTAAGCGAATGAAGGCGCAGCACCTGGGGTTTCGGCAGTACTGGACTGAACACATGCAAGTGAGGAAAGACGTCCAACTCTGTCCACACTTGGACGGAAACTCTGAGCTGAAATGTGTAAATTACATGGATGACTGAGCCTGAGGCGAGCTAGTGACTTCCTTGGAAGTTTTTGTTGGCATCATGTGAGGTTCGCTCAAGACTACTTCCTCATGATGAACATAACCAGATTGGCAGCATCTAACAGCAGATCTTCCCAGGAACTCATTGGGGATTTGCAAAGAGATAACATAGAATATGTTTTTGCATCCACTTGAATCATTGTCATACTTCCGAGGCAGACTCCGGCCTTACACGAGCGTGTGTGTATGTGTGCGTTTTTGATGTGTTGTGTTTGGTTTTCTTTTTCTATCATCTCTGACAGCCTACGGTGTGCAGCGGGTTGAAGGACGTCCTGTTATGGTTCTCAGGGGGCTGTGACAAATTGCGGAGGGAAACTGTAGAATGTCTGTTTTCGAAGAATAAGAGGAAGAGATTAAAAACAGGATGTCTGCTTTGCGTTGGCTCACTCGTCTTAAACCCAACAGTACTCCCAACGGTCATGTAGTTCATCAACTAATTGATGTACTTTTGTCTTACTTTGATCTTTTCCATAAGCCTTTTTTGCTACTTCATATCATTTGACGACTGAGCTGCCCCAGCTGAGTCTCTCGGTCTGTTCAACAAACACCCAACTGCAGCTTCTTTCCATTTTTTTCAGATGTTTTCTTTTTAGTTTAGTGCACAATTTCCCCCCCGGGTCAATAAAGGTGTATTGAATTTATTTTACTTGCTGCATCATTACGTGCAAGTCAATGACCTTATCTTCCAAAGAATGTAGTTCTTCAACATGCATAATTTGCGTTTTTCTTCGGGTCTCTCCTGCGCTTCATCAGAACAACACACAGGTATTTGACGCCATGCTTTTGCTTCTATTGCTTGATTGCGCAATAGGGTAGTGCAGCTGGGAGCCTGAGAGACGTGCAGGATTTCCTGTCACCACTGCAGTTTGACTGTGCATTTTAAAGGTCTGAAGTACCTTTATTCTGGTCAGCGGCGCGTAGGTGTTTGCCGCGGGGTTCTCCCCCACAGCACAGAGCAGAAGAGGAAACATTATAGAATGAGGAGTTGTCTGCAAAAGAAAGGGGTTAAGAGACAAAGAGAGAGGGAGATTATTACTGTAAAGAGCAAACCATTCTGACACTAACTTTGCCACCGATTTTGTAGATGAAAGTGTCTTACTGTCATGAGACGACAATGATAAGTTAAAATCATCTTTTGCGGTTTCATGTTTGTTTAGGTAGGCCTGCTGTGCCCGTAAATCCCTCAGACTGTTTTTTCTTTTGAGAAAAGCAGAGGGCAAGATTCAATTTAGAAATCGACAAGTGTCATGTTGGACATTGGTTATACTTTAAAACACTGCCGCTCTGGTTTTTGGTGGTGGCCGGCTAGTATCATTTCCTGTATTTTCAAGGAAAGAGAAGCCGAAAAGTGAAACAATAAGGGGAATGTAGCTTGAAACGTGCTAGAGTTTATTACCAGGAAGAGAGGGGTAGCAAGGTTGTTGCATGGACGCATGCATTGTGTTCGAGCCTACAACAAACCGGTACAGTAACTCTGTATTTCATGGGAAGAGCGTTTTGCTGGAATTTCCACTTCCGTGAATTTCTGGCTCCTTTGACCTGTCTGTAACCGTTTAATTGCACGCAACCAGTAATTTTACACCAAGGAAAATTTGTGGCCGCTGTGGAAAGTTCTTGCAAGGGTTAAAATTCATGCATTTCAAGTCACATTTAGTGGCTGTCAATATGATGCTTGACTTTCATGTTAATTGTTGTCGTACAAAACCATGTTTTTAATCTTAACGTAGAAGTCATTATAACTACGCAGATTTTAACTTTTCCAGTTCTGATCTGATATATATATATTTTTTTATAAACTCCGATGCAGATTGGGGTCCCGTTGACAATTGCATGGACGAACAATGTACTTATTTTTTACTTTAAAAAAAACTTTTTTTGTTGCGTGAGTCGCCTTCCCAGTTTCTGCATTGTTAAAATAAAATAAAAATAAAATCCTACATCTTACACGGGTACAGAAACCGACACAAAGCAGGACGTATAGAAACAATATCTTTAATATGCTACATCATGTAAATATAAAAGTAAAAATAGTCTCTCACATATAAATTCTCAACATCTCATCACTTGTTTGCAAAAATAAACTACATAGACAAACATATTTTACCAAGTAAAAAAACGCTACTCAAATCATGAAAGAAGTAGATCACTGACTCAGTAGTACAATTTCCAAGAACAGTACCTGCCTAAACAGAAGCACACCTGTGTTGCTTGTCTTTGTCGTCCAAAACTTTCCCACTAAAGTGTTGTGCGTAGGAATTGTTTGAAATATTTGAATCCAGTGAAAAGCAACGCAGCCAGTCAGTAGGAGCATAGCGTGCTGCAATAAGAAAGACAGTGTACATTCTTAATGAACATACTGCAATCACATTGAATATGTAGTTTGGTTTCTTTTGGTGATATTTGGTTTGGTTCAGTACGTTGTGTCTTTGATAATGAAATTAACTGCGAGAAGTTGCTGGGGAATTAAGAAAAAAGGGGTAATGCTTTTTCTTCTTAACCGCTTTCTTCACATTTAATGTAATCAGTTGAATAAATGGCCAAAAGACAAACACATTCATGTTCTTTGATTGTAGTTTTGGCAATTGCTTATTAACACACAATTTTAACAGACCCGATTTTTTCCCTTTTTTAATATCATAAATAAACAAAATAGTCGCAAATAGTTAAAGACAAGAAATGTGGTTTGTGCCACTTCACTGTGCGCTGTCGTTCTTATAAACGTCCACTCGCTGCACTCATGCACCCAGAAGCTCAAACACGCCGTCACACAAAGCCGAAGCCGAACACTGCACAATTTATCAAGGGAAGACTCTTCCGCAGGGTTGTGCTACCATTGTTCCTGAGTCCATTTGTGGTTTTCCTAAGAGATCAAATCAACACAGAAAAAACACTAACAGTCAAAAAATAAACTATCATAAACTAAATAAATAAAGACAACTCAAATTTCGAGAAAAGTAATAAGTTAAAGCACAAAAAAGCAAACAATTCTCTACCTGAGTGAAAAGAGTCTTCAATATTTCACAGCTTAACGACATCCTCCTCCCTTTAAACTGAGTTTTGGGAGGAAGTACAATAACTGAATACCCTCGCCCAGTCTTTGGAATGCTCTTGTTTTGGTGCTGCGCTTGTTTGATTATCAAAGTTTACCCGTAATGCCCATCATGGACTATTCGGGGAGTTTTATTTGGTGAAACATCGGTTTTCTTGGTTTCTGGTATGCTGTATGTCCTTTTTCTATACCGTCCCCTCTCGACTCCTTCTCACTGTCCTTCTGTCTTCACTGTTGGCCGGTGGTGGAGGTGAACAACGCTGGCCCTCTCCTGACAGGCCAGTGGAGGGCTGTGATGTGACGCGGGTGTCGCTGATTGGGCCACGGGCGTTGCTGGTGAATTAATCGCCGCCGCCAGGGCTTTCAGCAGTAGGGTCGCCTCCTTCTGGTCCTCCTTTCCCTCCCCCTCCAAGGTGCGATCCAACCAGCGCTCCACCGCCTCCTCCACCTGCATTGCCGACGCCGCCTCTGTGAGCATGTCGGCCTCTTGGCTGGCATCGAATCGCTCCACCATCTGCTTCGTGTGTACGTCGACGGGCATGTTGGAGTTAGCCAGGCAGCAGCTGCACTGGTGGATGCGGAGGGAAAAGCGGTGGAAGAAGGCCTGGGCGCAGAGCTGGCAGCGGTAGGGACGATCGCGGCTGCTGTGGAGGCGGCGGTGCAGTTTGAGGTGGATGTACTGGGTGAACTTGGTGTTGCACAGCTTACACTGGTAGGGTTTCTCCCCAGAGTGGAGGCGGAGGTGTGTTTTCAAGTTGCTGGTGCTGCTGAAGCGTTTGTGACACACCTGAAAAGCACGAGATAAAAGGTTAAGGCTTCTTTAAGCCACAGTCAACACGTTTGGATTGGGTTCGGGAATGTCGATGTGTCATTTACGCGGTTGCTTTAGGGTTGACCATGTAATTCTAGTTCTGCGGCAAACCTCCATAAAACAACATCTCTTTCTATGTTCTATTGAATCTACACCCAAAGCATCACGAGTGTCAATATCGCATGACCAAGTGAGTAATGGCTCATGGAAAGTCAAACAGACACTGTCTTACCAGAAAGGTATGTGAGTCACAAACAACCTGGGTGTACTTTTACAGTGTTTACAGTCTGTTTTTCTATTTGTGTCTTTCCCACTCACAATTTATTTCAACATACCTGACATTCATGTGGTTTCTCCCCCGTGTGGACAAGGTGGTGTTTCTGGAGGTGCGCCAGCTGCGTGAAGCTCTTTTTACACAGGTTACACTGGAACGGTCTCTCGCCACTGTGCACTCGGAGATGGACCTACAATTACAAATGAAATAGGAAGACGTACATCATGAGCACTGGTGTCAAACAGTGTGTACAAATTGGAACGAATAGAAGAGAAGTTTCAAGCAGAGCGGGAGCCGTGTCGAAGCAGTTACCTTGAGGTTCGACAGCTGTCCGAAAGTCTTTGAGCAGATGTTACATTCGTACTTGATCTTTCCATTCTGCTTCTGCAGTGGGTAGGGCAGCGATTTGTGGCCGGGGCCGTTGCGTGTCGCCGCTTTGCTTTTGATCGTATCCAGGCTTAGATTCATGGCTTCCTCAAACCCAGAGGGGGACTGCTCGGTGGGATGATGCTGACCGTCGGGTTTGGGGAGAGGGGAGAGCTCTGGCGTGGCTGGCGCGCCTCGCGGCGGCGACACGTTTGCTTTGAGTTCTTTCAGGCCCCCCTGTGAAGGCGGGGGAGGGTAGGGGAGGGACACCGGCAGTAAATTAGCTTGGCCCATGGGTGGGTACTGAGGGCCGTCGGCGCCCAGGTAGCTGTTGTATCGGAGGTATCCTCTTGAGGGCAGCATTCCAGGAAAGGGAGGGGAGTACGAGGGGAGGAGGAGGCGAGGATAGTGCGCGCCGTAGGGAGGAAGCAGCTGGTAATTGGGGTGGATGGGTCTGGATTGGGGGTAAATCGGGTAGGATGAGACACCTTCCCTGTAGAGGCCGTGGAGGTGGAGAGGGAGATTTCGCTGCTGGGGCGGGACTGCGGGCTGAGGATCCGGTGAGTACCGGTGATTTAAGGCCGGGCCTCTCTCTCCGTGTTGGGGCTCAGGGGATGGAATTATGCCCCGGTCCTCTGTGTCCCCGGCGCTCGCCTCCGTCTCGACCTTTTTGCTGAAATCCATGATGTGGTTGTCAGGCGTGTCAGGCGTGTCAGGCGGTGTGTCTCTCTCCAACATCTCCACGTCGATATTCTCCTCTCCATCCTCATCCCTCTCTTCCTTCACCTCCTCCTTTGTTCTGTCTGTACTCCATGTCGTCTGAGGTAGGTGCTGTTTGGGACACTCCGGCTCTCGGTCTTCATCAGAGTTTGTGTATTCTGTAAACAGATTAAATGAAAATTGAGTATAGTTACAGCATTATTATACAAATTGAATAACTGCACCATATAATGGAAAAAGCGTATCGTAATATCTGGTTTGAGCTGTGTACCTCACACACTCCAACAACCTTCCACCCATAGAAGGCCCTGCCTCTTATGGTAACTGATAGTAGTTTCGCTCTGACTTACCGTGTCCATCATAAGCTATAGGTTTCTGTTTGTGAATCACAGTAGTGATTTTGATGTGGGCGCAGAAGTTAAGTGTGTGGGACTCCATCTGTCATGCCAAGATTCAGAGTTTCATTTGCAAAACCTTTTCTAGATACGTCTCTCTCACAAGATAATGTGAAACAGCTCTTTTTTTTGTCTCTTCTGAGAATTTGTCACCATTACTGTATGTTGTGTCATATATGTACCATGATAACTACATATTTAAAATGCTGCACCACAGTTACAGTTTTAACAAATATGAAGAAACGAAGTTTCCAAATGTAGCATTTTGTAAATCATACGTTTGTGTTTTAGATGTGATTTGAAAAGCAGCATTTTTTTTTTTTTTTCACTTCACTGAATATTCAAATTAATTTATAGAGAATCAAGCTTTGCTTGTAACTTGTAAGTTTCCAAGTGAGACTCGCTTAAATATAAATGTATCAGAACATCGATAACCGGGATGGTTAAACAATGAGAATACCTGAACTGGAAACGAACACTAAAGATCCTTTTAAGTTGATGAAATGTAGTCATACCACCTCAGCATTAGTCACCAAGATGAATGACAACCCATCTGGTGTGTCCAGTTGGTATGAGTCATCGGACTTCATGGCGACACATAATCATACGGGATGACTTGCCGTTCTACAACTGGCTGCAAACAAATACTCGTAACGGTACTTTGACCAGACTTTATTCCCCTCAGATTTCTCTGCTCTCCTTAAAATATCACGTACTTCACCACATCTGACTGAGATTTGTTTTAGTCTACGTTTGTATGCATTCCCCAATGATAATGGTAGATATTTGCCTTCAGCCAGACAGGAATAAATAGCAATAAACCAACTATCTCCATTGTTGGTGAAAGATAACATCATGTCTTATTCACAGGAAGGAAGCGTAAACACGTCTTCATTCATCTTAAGCACACATCAGTTTGTATCGCCTTCTGACGCAGCGTTTTGTCACGTTTTGTCACATGTAAATCAGGCGTGTGTCATTGTGATGCACCGCCTCTAAATCATTTCTTCCTCTTTCGCAAGATTTCTGTTGAAAGACCACATCTTGATACTAAACTAGCAAAGCCGTCCCTCCCGCTGCACTCACTCGGTTTCATGTCGGCTTGCTGGCCGCAGAGCCTTTGGGCAAACTCCTGGCTGTACCAGACCAGCAGCTCCTGATTGGGCTCCACCGGTCCAATGGTGTAGAAGTAGATGTCCCGGCCGTTCTGGCACGCCACCAGGTTCTGTTCGGCCAGAGACCGGGCCGGGTTGACGTAACGCATCCAGTTGCTCCTGTGGACGTCATAGCCGTCAATAAAGTTTTGGAGCTGCTCATTGCTGTAAATCTGCAGGAGAAGAAGTGGAGAGATGACAAGGATTACAACGTATTCATACCTGAAGCAACTGGCTGTAATGTATTCAATATTGGACGTCCACTGATTATATTACTAAAGACATTTCAGCATGTGATGCTCAAATTCTTGAAAATGAAATCCGCTGACAACAATTTGAATAGCTTATTATGAAGAAAATATTCAGAATGATCACCTCTGCCATGTACAGTTAATTATCCTTCAGCTTTCAGTCACTGTGTATTGTCTGCTGCACCCAACAGCTCTGCTCTTTGCGTCCCGAGTGTGTTTGTGTCGGTGAGCACTGTTTAAGTACACACGCCTAGTGGGCGTGGTTGTCCACTCACCGCAATTGCCGTCTCTCTCATTTCCCCCTCTTCCTTCCTTATCTCTCTCTTTTTTTCTTCTTCTTTAGATTAGTGCAGTACACGCTTGGTGGTAAACTTGGTAACCGTGGTTACGATCTTCGACAAGCGAGTTGTAACTGATGGCCGCCTGCCAGCCCGCCTGTCAGGCGTCCAAACACAGCGGCATGCGGGCGTGCCCTCAGCCGCACGTCAGCCCCCCCGTCCCTCTACCTGTGTCACGAGTTCGTAACACAATCCCTCCCGGAGGACGTCACACTTTCACTATTGCACCGCCGCGACACCCCTTGCACAAGCTTACAGGAAATACGGCCGGAAGGAAAACACGTAGGATGGGAACAAAAACTCTGACTCAGCAGAATTCCTCAGTGACATAAGCTTTCTGGAAGATAGAATGAAAGCAAGAGAAAGAGAGAGAGAGAGAAAGGGAGAAAAGAAACCAGGGGCCTGAAGACTTATTGGTATGAGGAAAGATTAGGATAGTCTGAGTGTTTGTGCCTGCATGACAAGCAATAGTCCTTTGTGTGTGTGACGGTAAACTTTGATGACTGTGAGAGGGAAACCATTACCGGCAACATTGACTTCCTCTTAAAACTTTGACCAAAATCCCTTAGAGTACTGGAGTGTGTTGACGTATGGATTTGACTCGGTGTGAAACTTGTTATTACGGACGTCTATTTCTGTCTAACCTTGTCCGAGTCGCTCCTCGCCTGATCCCAGGTCCATTTAGTCGCTCTAGATTTGACTAATATCGCTCAAGTTTTAACGCATAAACGGGATCCCCCGTAAAGGTTGAGATCCAATAAGAGCAACGGGGAAATTCACATGAATTGGTATACGGTATATTGCGTGCGTGTTTCGCTTACCCGCCAAAAGTATTTCCTGTTGGCCTGTTTGGGAACGTTGTCTTTGGTGTAGATGACCCCTTGCAGAGGGCCGAACCGAGTCCCCTGAGGAATGTACTCTTTGCTGAAGACGCCCATCACCTGCAACACAGATCAAATCCATCATTACATTTATCCATTTTCCATCGTTCATCTCTCATGGAAAATGTTACACATTAACTCAGAGAACAGATGTTGAAAGAGCATTCAAAAGTAGATGTTTCTTCAAACATTCATAGCATAGTGCAATACTTGTGTGTGTCCATTGTGAATGTCCAGCAGGTCGTCGGCCTCAGTTGCAATTGTGGTTGCTTTGTCACGTTTGCCCAGACAGCTCTCCAGCCAGGTTAAAAAAACACTTTCAACACTAACTAGCTAATCAAATGAAGAGAATTACACTTTCTCTGACCTACTCTACTGATCTGTGACCTGCTGTCGTTATAAACTCCATAGACAGAGTCACCTGTTGTTGTTTGTCACCCACCTGTTGTCTGTCTTGTAACCATGGTCATAGAAAAAAAGCAACCAAAGCAATAAATACAGAAAATAGTGACACTGCTTGGTCGTTGGATCAAAGCCTAAAAGTCCAATTGTAACCTCTTTGAAATGAGTCACACCTTTTGTCTATAGTCTAATAACCAGTACATTGAGTAAGTCGCGGTAAGAGCAAGACCTATCCTGCAGGTTATTGAGTAATTTCTGAAATTTTGAGGTTGGTTGGAGCAGAAAACTGAGAAATCTAAAGGAAGGAACAACAGGATATGTCCGTCTCTTTGTTCTGCAGAACAGTTTCATGATTCACACTTTCTTAGAAAGTGGACAGGCTTGGGGTCAACGCCTCTCAAAACGAACCCAAACACACACACACACACACACACACACACACACACACACAAGCCATCCGGCAGAAGCATCTGCGGCGTACGCTCAGTCTCTGTGTCTTGAGGAGCTTTGTCTTCAATTCTTACCCTCCTATACCCCCCCCCCCCCCCTCCTCCTCCTCCTCGCATCAATAAATACACACTCTTTCTTTGGAAGGAAGAGCGTGTATTTATTGAGGCATTCTAATTCCAACGGACCCTGAAAAGCGTTTCAATGGCGTCTGGTATAAAGGTCAAACCTGAGCAAACCAAAACGACAAACACCTCCGCACCCTGAGATGGTTTTATAGCCCCGCCAAGGGAAAGAGGCGGCTTTGCAAATGAAGTACAAGAAGTTCATTAGAAGAACAACCGCTCACTGAGTGCAGGAGGGGTGTGTGTGTGTGTGTGTTTGGGGATCGAGCGGCCAAGGAGGCGAGGGAGGCTGGTCCCCGGATGTGATGAACCATTGTGACAGGGACATTGTGCTCTGCTGCCGTTGCGTGACTAACGAGTCGCTTTGACCGCCGCTGCAGCTTAACCGCTCAGTTCGGCCAGGTTGGGAAGATGGGAGAGGGAGGAGGTTTTTGGGCGGGGTGGGGGTGTGCAGCGGGGAGGGTGGGTGGGGGTTGAAGAAGGAAGGATGAGCGTTCTTAAATGGAAGCGCTCTATCACACTTCTAAACGCCCCCCCCCCCCCCCTTTTCTCTGGCCTTCCCCCAATCCCCTTGTCTTTTCTTAACCCCCTCAAAATAGCTTGTGCGCCTGCCAGGATGGCTGCCTGTTCCCAATGAAAGTTAATCATCTGGTTTTAACCTAAATCCCCCCCACCCTCTCCGGCTCACACCCCCCTATCCGTCCCCTATGCTGCTCCCTCTCTCCCAGCTCACTGGCTAACAACCCCATCTGCCACGTGCCCCCTCCGACCTTCTCTGCATGTCCTGGCACGCTTTGGAATGGGAAAAAAAAACCCACACGGGAAAAAAAGGAGTTTCGGAAAAAGTGTGTGAAAGTTCTGAGTTACGGAATAAGAGGATGTAGGGGATCTTCCAGGTGGCCACATAGGTGCTAAACTATGACGACGTGCGTTTTAAAGACAAACACATTTGATCCGAAACCGGTGTATCGGACCCGCGTTAAAAATCCCTTCCTAATAAAGGTGTGAACTGCGCGTGCAGCTGTCCCACAAACCCGCACAAAGTAGCGGCTGTGTTTTACGATCGTTGCAGCCAAACGATTTTCCAACTTTAGCTTTAGGGAGTGGAGGAGAAGGATTCACACACAACCATATTTAGTGAGGCAAACCACTCAATGCAAAAGGGCAAGTTTAAGCAAAGCAGATTACCGGCCAGCAGTCTGTGCTTGTGCTTGATTTTGTGTTGCTGATGCACACACCTACACCTAGTTGCCTGATGTAGCAATGATGCATGTGAGCACAAGCCAAATGGCAAAAGGGAAGTTTGAATCCATCAAGTGTTTGTAAGATGGGTTTCACAGTCAGCAAGGACCGGGAGTTCTGAAATGAGCCCTTAAAGTGATTCTTATCACCTTGGTTTGCATGCTTTTCTCATCCTCCAGCAGTAACTTCTGCTTCGTCAAGGCCGAGAGAAGTAGAGAAGGGGAACGACAGCAGAAAGTGTTGCCTGGGAAAGGACAGAAAGAGGAAGACGAAAGCTAGTCCAACCGCAAGCAACAGTGTGGACTCCAAAACCAGTAAGTGACATCTCTCTTTCTCTCTCTTCCTTTTTAAAAAAGAACATTTGCTCTTCGGTACAGATTGCCTTTTAAAAGCTGGCCTGAAAGCACGACTGCAGTACTTGGCGGTGACGTGTCGGTGCTGATGCGGGAGCCTGCTGCACTGCAACAGTCGGCAAACTGAAAAGGCTCAGAGGTGTTGCGTTTGCACCACCTGAATCGCCCGGGTAGGACGATGTGAATGAGACCGGCTTGCGTGCTGGAAGTCGAGCTGACCCTTGACATCTGGCGCGTGCATGTGCGTGTCTTGAGCAAGAGAGGCCTGTATGCGTCAATATACGCGTGAGAGTGCAGAAGAGGCTGCACAATGTTTCGGCAAAAAGGCCCCTGAGCTCAAGCTGCCGGGGGCCACAACCCCACATGCACGCTTATGCGGTTCCCTCTACTGTATACGCCAAGAGCCCATTAGTCAGCTCATCTTTTGTTTCGAGGAGCCAAATGCAGATGGCCCAACAGAATGAAAGGCGACTGAGATTTCAAATTTCAAAGTGTAACCACAAAAACTATAAACTGACTGGAAAAACTGCCCGTTCAAGCTCAAAGGAGAGTGGAGGTAGGGTTTCTCAGGATAGAACATGAGCGCTGTCTGTATTCTACAGCATCAATTTGTCACTTGGGGCCAAGCAAATCGTGTAAACCGTTTTAGATCAGATGTGATGTAAAGGCCATTCTGTGTCTCCTGTCTGAGTGGCTCTTACCTCGTTGTCTGTGCTGTATTCAAAGGTGAGGTTGCGTGGGATGGACGTCATGGCTTTGGGCAGGCTGAAACTGGGGTCCGACACCTGGTCTGGCACAATGTAGGTGCAGTTGAGGACAAAGTCCACCTCCCTCCACCCGCTCATGTCTCCTAGTGGGCTTTCCAGCTTCATCTTGACAATATAGAATATTCAGTAGCTGATGGACGCAGGCTTCCTGGAGCTTTGGTTCAGTTTGGCCCGGTTTGGTCTTGATTGCTTTGGTGTGAAGTACTTTGGTTTGGTCGGGCTTGGTCCCTTGTCTTAGGTACGCTGGTTAAAGATCAGGATCTGGAAAAAGAAGAGAGAGAAAGAGGTTTTAGTGCCACAGAAATCAGCTGCTCTCAATGTAAGCTTGAGGAAGGGTACATGTTTAGATAAAGAATATTTGCAGTGGAGACAAAATCCGAGTAGGTTGACCTGAAGTTGAATAGATTGTTATAATTGTTAGAAATCCATGTTAAAGACTTTTGTCTTTTTGCGCTCACCCCGTATCATTTAACCATTTTGTCATCCCTCTCAGCAAGAAAAGAGGAAAAGGAGACATGACTTACTTCCACACATTCCTGCAGCTGTAGGATCCTCATGTCTTTGGCTATGTCATCCCTTAATTGTTTTTATCGGCTCCCTCCTCTTTCTCTGGTGTATTCTTCAGCGATGGGTTATATCCTTTGGGTATCCACTCTTGCTGTGGGCACTCTGTCACCATCACCAGAAGCTCATGAGCCTGCATTGCGCCAACCTTTTTCAGCTCAACGCTCTGGCCAATCACAAGCCGCTGTGGTCATGTGATTGTGCCATCTGACACACAACTGTTGGCTTTGGACAACAACATCAGTGACGTTGTACACTTGGACAGCAAGTGGCTGTTGTGGTGAATGCTTACACATTAATACACACACACACACACACACACGTCCATGTGCACACAAAGAGGACATGTTAATGAATGAATAAAGGAAGAGCAGATGGCTGGCCTGTTGCCACTGAAAAACACACTGATAGACTTTTGCTTGGTTTGGCACTTAATGAGCAATCGGCTGCCACTGTATCTCCTTGACCTACATCGCACTGTAGAACATCTTTAACTAAGAGTCTTAAGACCCTTACAACACACATATGACCAAATAGATCCACAACTTATAAAAAACACACAGAGGCGCAATTCTTTATTCTGTATTTTTAGTCTGGGGTAAAGTAGGGAGGTGAAGAAATAATAATAATGGATTCTCTTTGCTATGCGCTGATACCGGCTCTGGACTGATGGGTGTTTTCGCTCAATCACAGGTACAGATGTAGGCCAGGTCATCCCTGCACGCAGGCCTTACACGTGTCTGGCGAGCATTCCCTTTATTTTCAGACACGCACAGTCTAATTATACAGAGCCGTGGGTCACCGTGCACAAAGATAGCCGGGACAGGAGAAAGCTGTTGAAAGAACATGTGGAGGCGTGCCATTAAGAAAGAGTGTGACTCCTCCATGTGCGGCGACGCTGCCCGTTTGAGAGTGTGCATGTGAAAGGCCACAAACAGTAATGAATCACATTTGAAAGAAATCATTTTTTCCTGACATGATGTGTAACTGTAATTGTGTTTTTCACTTGAGATGTCTTACATTTCATAAGAGAAACCCATGTAGTTGGCTTCTTAACAGTGACTAAGACACACATACAACTGTGCCGACAAATAAGATATAGATTGTGTTACTGCTCTTTAAATGCTTACATAACCGCTATGCTAGACGTCAACATAACGGATTCCAGGCTGGACTCAATTCTCTCGTTGCATTTAGGTTTAAGTTTAAACAATAACAAATAAAATGTTTGATTTCATGACTTACGTAAACGGTAAATGTGGACAACATAATATTATGAAAGTGCAAGAAATGGAAAATGTTTTCTTCTCACATGGATATGGCGGTATATTTATTTAAAACACTAACTATTTTCGTGTCGATCACAAATACCCGCCCCCTCTCCCCCCTTTCCTTCCTAACTTGGCCAGTGAAATAGTAAATTGGCTGCCATATGGCGAGACCGCTATTCCAAGAGTGGAGCTTTACTGACCAGTGTGGCGTGGGGGTTAATTTTGGGAGAAGGAGTGTGTGTGTGGGGGGAGGTAGAGGGAGGGTAAGTGGGGATTTGGGTTCTTTCACTGCGCCTGGCTCGGCTAATTTCTCTAATTTGCAGACAGTCTGGGCTCAGGCTCAGGGCTCAGAGACTAAGGACCCGGCACTCCACGATAGCCGCGCATCTCACACTGGACACACATCACATCCGGGACATTAGATGTTTTCAGACACACGCTTTTTTTTTCTCCCAGCGGGGGAAACCTGTTGTGCAGTGCAGAGCGAGCGAGGTAGCGGCACCGGGAGACCAGAAAGGATAACCAGAGGAAAAACCTGATGTCAGCTGCATTCAGGCTGTCTGGGACAGAGAAAGTTAGACGAAAGAACCAAAGAATTGAAAATACTTAGTTAATATTACCCGGGTGTTTTGTAATAGTCTGGTCTAAATTTACACCTGTAGTACAGAGAAAGCTGCCACCTGTTGATTATACAATCAAGCCAATTTAAATGCTGGTTAAAGGAAAATAATAATGTAGGTTTAAGTTTTTTAAATTGCTGTGGGGAAGGAGACCCTTTAAACACATTCTCTGACTACTGCTTGTATAATAAAAATGAAATTCTTATATTTGGACCACTAACGTGATGTAGTGAACCATATTGAACACAGGGCTTATTCTTTAAGGGATAATTCTCTATAATAATAATTTATTGTCTTTTAATTGCGCCATTTCATGATAAAATCAAATATCCAGATTTTCTGATACACAATTATGTTTTTAAAATATATGACAACCATAACTAAAATGTGTGTGTTTTCAGATTGTTTTACAAAATTCTTTATTAAAGAGGAGGATATTTGGTAGTTTATTATTTGTCATACATTTAATTCACACAATACTTTACGAATTCATGTGGTTATTTGTTATTAGCTAATCATTTATTTACCAAGAATATGCCATCCCTTTATACATTATTACCAAGATGTGAAATCAAGATGTGTTGATCTTCTTCTTTGAAGAGTGAGGCAATATTTGCGCTATACACAAACAAACACGATATACCGCGTGAAAAGATGTATTCACCGCCCATAGAACAACTACTAATGGTCCACGTGGGACATTGTAGTTTCCCTATGCTTCAAGAAAACAAATGGGGCTATTATTATTTACCTTGTAATCTTATTGTTTACACATCAATAAGCACTGATTCCACCGGCCTACACCACCCTGAATCCGCTCTCCACTATGCACCCAAACCAACGGCCAATGTGCTGATGTAGCTCTGTACAAGTGCCCTTAGATGCCCTACTGCTTTAATCTTTCAAGATAGCATCTATATCCAATTAAAGGAAACAAAAGCAGTGAGTTTGTTGTTTTAATGGGTTACAACAACACAACCTAACCAACTGCTCGTGGTAGCAGTAGACCAGTACACTTTGATGCTGTACCAGTTGCAGGAGTTTGCTGCTTTTCTCTTAGTGCCTTATACAACCCCATTTAAGAACTGCATGAGCCAATCCCTTCTCACAGATATCAACTCTTTGCTGAATTGCCTACTGTAATCTATAATGTCAGGCCACTGCCAATGAAAGTGGAAACAGACCAGCAAGCAAGAAGCGTGAGCGCTCAAGTTGTTTGCTTGTTTTTGCTTCTCGGCCTTGAGTCAGCGCAGGAAATAAGTCCCTATATATATATATATATTTTATGTTGTAATGACAATGTCTCACTCTGTGTGGCCCCAATCCTTCTGGTTTTACTGGCGCTCCCCTCCCTTGGTGTTTTCCCAGTGCCGTCATGGTAAACAGTAAACAGCTGAGCGGCAGAGGATTATTTGCATGATGATGTTTGTTTCTGTAAATGTTGTCCCTACAAACAACCCCATTGACTTCACGAGGAAGCGGATGACCCCGGAAACATCACTTTTCAGGGGGTTGTTGTTTACCGAGTCGGGCCGGCTTAGTTTTACATGAGATCCCTTTAACCGGAGGGATTATCCCCACTGGCTCAACCTTAAATATGTAAGATTACAGTATTGCATTTCAATACCAACAAGCATGGGCAATTGTTTTCCTGGAAGCATCTTTGTTTTTAAACGGATTGAGGTTATTGGTGATTGGGGGGTCACATTTTTTCAGTTGGTGTGGGAGTTTTTCAGTCATCTTTAAACTCTATTGTGCAACCAAAAGACGCATCTATTATTTGTAGTGTCAAAAGCAAGATAAAATGCATCTTGTTATACTGTAGGGTGGTTTGTTTCAAATTCAAACACATCATACAGTGCGACTTTTGTGAGCATCCATCAAATAATTCTGCACGTGTCCAAAGCGCTTTTTTCTTTTGTTGCTACAAGAAGATTTTCCATAAGAAGCGTTAAAGACAATGAAATGACAAACAGGCAGTGCCTTCCAAGCTTATGGAAGCAATCATTCATACATATGAAAACAATACTATGTGGTATCTATAGGTCAAAAAGGATAACCATACATAATCCAGGTATGATTTAAAACATAATCTTGATTTATAATCTTCAATGGAGGGTGGTGGGCAACTCTGGTCTTCTAAGATGTGCGAATGATTGTTTCACAGGAGGTAAAAAACAAACAAACAACAGACTTAAATCTTTTCTCCTGATCTCCTTATCCCTCTAAAGACGTGTGTCATGAGCTGGACATTGTTTTTGTCATATTCCACCACATCACCTTACTCTATTCTTTTTCTAATCATTGTTGGATGTTGTGGAACCACACCTGTTCAAATACAATCACATTTAGAGAAGTTTCTATTTCAAAGAGGTTTAACATGAGTATGTGAAAAATGGATGCATGTGAAAGCTGCATTGGAGAACTTGAAAAAACTGAAACCAGTTTAAGGCCTTAGGACTATAAGAGCTCTTACCTTTGTTGTGACTATTATTAGCTGACAACCATTGCATCAGTCTGTCGCAGACACACTGCTTGGCAAATTGAGACCCCGGTAGTTTTTTTTATTCAGAGCATTTAATTGTTGTGTCTGTGTCTTTATACCTTTTTTAAACACCATTTGATCCGCACAAAGCTGAAACAAAAGCTGATATTCAAAAGAGAGACAAAAATACCAAATAAAAGTAAGTCACAAATAGAAATATAACACCAGGAATTCATCATGGTAAAACAGGTTTGAACGTAAAATGAGAGCAATACGAAATTAGAAATGCTACGTGTAGAAATACTGAATAACAGCTAAAGACTTTAGAAGCCAGATTGAATGTATGGGATTTTTAATTATGTTGAAAAATATTATTTAGCCTGTTGCCTGCCTTTTTCATGACTATTTAACATGAAGTGAGAGCTCACACTTTCTCACCATTATTTGTTTGCGAAATACCAAAGTTTCTCAGAGGCTGACTCTGAAAACCCAAAATAACATCTCATTTTCACACCTCAGCTGGATTGCACGCCATCACAGAGGAGGAAGGAAGACGATGGCCAGATGCTTCAGAACAAGCAACATCCTTATCTGCGATCATCTTCAGCCTGTGCCGTGCATGTAGCAACTTTACACCGTTGGAGGGAAGAAGGGACTTTTAAGCACAATCTAATATCATAGCCGAATATATCTGGAATCTTTGAAAAATAAAACGTTCTGGCATCCGCATCCCTCATAAAATTGCTTCTAAACTGAAATGT